GAATAGCATCATAGTCAAGAGCAAATATATCTACCCTCTGCCTAAGCAACTCCACCCAGTCGGGGAGCTCAGCCTCGTCGCCAAACACGGTACGCCAGGCGTCGCTCAGACGGGCGAAGCAGCGGGACTGTGTATGACCAGGTGTCCCACAAGGCTGACCAATCCGAGCAACAGTGAGAATCACGTAAGAGCAGCGAACAGAACTGAGAGACCCCCTACTCTGAGCGTACCACTCACGAAGCTGCTGAGGCGTGAGAGACGCGCGGGGGGGTCGCGGGAGCTGCATCTGGCCGCCACCAGTAGTAGAAGCAGCAGGAGTGGTAGCAGTAGTAGCGCCACCACCCCTACAGCCCCAACTAGCGTACCACTCACGCAGCTGCTGGGGCGTGAGGGACTCACGCAGACGTCGATGGGGCTGCATCTGGCTCCACCAGTAGAGGCAGGAGCAGGAGTAGCAGCAGTAAGGCAGGCAGCCAGGCAAGCCAAAAGGGAGGCAGGCAGGCAAGCAGGCGACGCGCAGCGTGCTAGCAGGGCAGGGGCTCACCAGTGGTGGGTAGAGTAGGCTCGGCGACTCAGCGGCTCGGCAGCACGGCGGCTCTGCGGCTCGGGCGACTCGGGCGGCTCGGCGGCAGGGCGGCTCGGCAGCAACTGCAGCTCGGCAGCTCGGCGACCCGGCGGCGCGGCTGTAGGGTGGCTCGGCTGCTGGGAGGCTCGGGTGTAGAGCGGCTCGGCTGCAGGGCGGCTCGGCTGCTGGGAGGCTCGGGTGTAGAGCAGCTCGGCGGCGAGGCGGCTCGGCTGCAGGGCGGCTCGAGACGAAGGAGGAGAAGCAGGGGAGACCACACACCTGCCACCCCTCAGCAGCGGCCCCCTCAGGTCGCCTCGACAGGCGACGGGAAAACGGGGGGGGGGGGGGGGGGGGGAGGCGGCTCGGGCGGCTCGGGCGGCTCAGGCGGCTCGGGCAGCTCGGGCAGTCAGCGGCACAGGCGGCTCGGGCGGCTCGGCTCCTCAGCTGCGCAGACGGCTCGGGCGGCTCAGGCTGCACGGCGGCTAACGGGCGGCGTGGGGGGCCGGGACGGCGGCGTGCAGCAGGGACGGGCGGCGCACGGGCGGTGTGAGGCCGGGACGGGTGAGGGGCTAGGACGGGCGGCGTCCTGGCGCCGAGGGGCCGAGACAGGAGAGCGCGGCCGGGGCGGGCGGCACAGGGCGGCTTGGGGCCGGGTCGGGCGGCGCGCGGGCGGTGAGGGGCCGGGACGGGCGCGCGCGGGCGGCTAGGGGCCGGGACGGGCGCGCGCGGGTGGCTAGGGGCCGAGACGGGCGCGCGCGGGTGGCTAGGGGCCGGGACGGGCGGCGCGCGGGCGGCTAGGGGCCTGAACGGGCGGCGCGCGAGCGGCTAGGGGCCGGGACGGGCGGCGCGCGGGCGGCTAGGGGCCTGAACGGGCGGCGCGCGAGCGGCTAGGGGCCGGGACGGGCGGCGCGCGGGCGGCTAGGGGCCTGAACGGGCGGCGCGCGAGCGGCTAGGGGCCGGGACGGGCGGCGCGCGGGCGGCTAAGGGCCGGGACGGGCGGCGCGCGGGCGGCTAGGGGCCTGAACGGGCGCGCGCGGGCGGCTAGGGGGCCGCAGGGCAGGCCGAAAGAGTGAGAGCGAGGGCCCGGAGCGCGCTCCGGGCAGAAAGAAAAGTTTAAAAGTGGTGGGCCCTAAGCACAGTTCCCATGGGGGAACCTGCTCGATACCATGTGGAAAATAGAACGAGAATGAATGAACTATGAGTCAAGTGAGTACAAATAGCAAAACCCTAATTGGGTTGTACCCCCTATGGGATACCCCACTGTAGCCTACACAACAGCATAAGCTACATATATGTTCTGACATTGCGTCCACCTTACGCGGGTCGATTTTGATTCCGTCGCCAGAAACCACATGCCCCAGGAACTCCAGTTCTGGCTTTAGGAACTCGCACTTAGACCCCTTCGTAATCAGCCGATGTTCCTGCAACCGCCGTAATACCTCCTCCAAATCCCGCAGGTGTTCCTCTTTAGTCGCGCTATACACCAGGATGTCGTCCAGATACACGATGACTTTCTTATCCAGCATATCCCGGAAAATTCCGTTCATGGTGAGCTGGAAGGTCGAGGGCGCGTTTGTGAGTCCGAACGGCATCACCGTAAATTCGTAGCTGCCGTAACGTGTGCGGAAAGCCGTTTTCGGGCAGTCGTCGGCGAACACGCGAATCTGGTGGTAGCCACCTCGCAAATCGATTTTCGAGAAGAACCGAGCCCCGCGAAGTTGGTCCAGCAGGTCGTCGGTTCGTGGGATCGGGTAACGCGACTTAATTGTGACTCGATTCAGCGCTCGGTAGTCGATGCACATGCGCAGGCCTCCGTCCTTCTTCGGCATGAATAGTATCGGGGCGGCGTACGGTGACGTGCTTGCCCGGATAAATCCCTTGGCGAGCAGGTAATCCAGCTGGGCCCGCAACTCGGCGAGCTCCGGTTGGCTGAGCCGCCACTGTGTCCGAACAGTTGGTTGCGCTCCAGGTTCCAGCTGGATCCGATGGTCCTCAGGTCGTTGGGGGGGCAGGCCATCCGGAAGATCATCCGCGAAAATTTCGGGATATTTCCGAATAATGCTCGCCAATTCCACAGGGACTGCTGCGCAGAGGGTGTCGATGTCCGCGATTTTGTCGGAAGCTTTCACCTCGTACAGGTGTACCAAGAAGGCTTGAGCTCCACCATTCATCGCTCGCGCCATGTTGAGCGCGTTGACACGTGTCGTCACCGGCTCCGGTTCCGTCCATTTCGGAAGCGTCGTTTTTCCGTCCATTTCGGAAGCGTCGTTGCTCGCACGACGCACGGCCCAGTCGTCCAGTCGATCGTCGGGTTAAATCGTTGCAGCCAATCTCGCCCCAACAGCACATCACAGCCATCCAACGTCGTCGCCAACATCTTCATGCCAAACCCGAAATTTTCGCCACATTTGATCCAAATTCTTCGCGCTTCATCTCGGATGGCCAGTGGTGTCCCATCCACTAGCCTTGCATCGATCTCCGGCAGACACCTCGTCAGCTTCACCCCAATTTTTTTGGCCGTTGCCAGGTTGACGAGACTGTGGCTCGCCCCTCCGTCAACGAATATTTTAATTTTATAACCGTTAACCCTCCCCACAACCAGCACAGGGTAGTCCACGTGTTCACCCACGTTATTCGTCTGGTTCTAGTCGATAGCTCTGATCGGTACCACGACCCGGTGTGGATGGTGATTGTCGGGCGACAGGGTCTCGTTAGTAGGTGGCCCTTCTGCTACTGACTCAAATCTTTTCCCGACCCTTCTCCGTCGTTCTTCTTCCCCTGCTTAAGCCTCGGGCAGTCTTTTTTCAGGTGGCCCAGCTGGTTGCATAAAAAGCACGGCCCAAGGGCTCGGCTTGGCGCATCCACGCCGTTGATCGTGGGCTGCTGGGTCGATCCACGAAATCGAGGGCCCTCCCGGGAGCTCAATCTCGCCCACTGCATCAGTGCATCCGTTGACTCGGCTTCTCGAACGGCGTCGTTGAAGCTTCGTGGCCGGGTTCGTCGGACTTCATACTGAATTTCATATTTTAAACCTGCCACGTAGCGATCCAACCGTTCCGCATCGCTCATATCATACACTTGATCCGCCAAGTTGCAGAATACACTGGTGTAGTCTTGGACCGAAGCCAGCTGCTTCCAGGCACGCAGCTTCATGCGAGCAGAATCCGAGGCGGATATATGCTCGAATCTGGTTCGCAAGGCGGCGCCCCACTCCCTCCATGTGCGTATCGTGGCCGTCCCAAAAATCGATGTTGCCTGGTGCGTGACAGGTGTTGAAGTCCCGTCGTTCGCACGTGCTGCTCCTGCCGAAGTCCCTTCGTGCTGCAGCGTTCGCCTCCACCATTCCAGCGCAGGTCCTCGCAATAGTGAAACTGCGAAATTAATGCGGGTGGCATCGTCATTAATCATGGCAGCATTAAAAAACACCTCCACGCCGAACAACCATGCAGAAACAGTGACGAACTTGTCACTTGGGTTAAACGGGGGCGGGTTCGTCGGCTTGATTTTAACAAAAGCCGTTGTTGCCATCGGGGCCGTTGGTACTGCTGTCTGCGTCGCCGTCGTCGTCGCTGCTGCATGTGTCGGTGCTGCACGCGACTGTTGCGGCTGTACCTGGCTCGCCTCATCCGCATCCATCTCGCCTTCCAGCTCGCTCCAGACCCGCTCATCTGGTGCAGTGCTGCTACTTGCGTCGTCCACAACAGGCGACTCCCGGCGCGCTTCACCGCGCGCCTGGTGTAGTTCGGCGTTTTCTGCCCTCAGGCGCTCCAACTCGTCAGACATAGTCTGCATGTTGGTCTGCATCGCCCGAAACTGTTGCATGAGCTCGTTGAACTCCGCCTGGTCCATATGTCGCAGGCTTCGTCTAACGGGCAGGGGGTGACTAGCGATTTTTCTGACTTTGGTGAAGGCGTTAATGCTATCGTAGTCGGAGTGGAATAATCGGATCTATTCCACGGGCCAACCGCTTAACAGCCCACCAAGTCTATCGCTCCCCTTCTACAAACTACCCCGGAAACGCGAGGGTAACCTAGGAAAGTAGCTCTGATACCAGGTGTTATGGGTTGTATGAAAGAAGAGTGCGCAGAATTCAATATCGCGGAAGTGATTACAACTACTGAGAGCACAACGAGGCCTAGGACTAATATAGCGAGGCTAGCTGGGCCGAGGTTGTAGGGTCGCAGGATGGCTGGGTGCAGGTCCGGGGTTGTGAAACCCGAAAGCGACGCGATAGTGGTTCGGAAGGCGAGGTCGTCGGACCGAGCCTGGTTTTCCGAAAAGTCAGGTTTGTACGCGTACAGTGTGACCCAGTAAGGAATCCGAAAAATTCCTTACAGAATAACTCTCCTCTTCTAAAGCACTACAGTTTTGATATGCATTCTGAAATAAAAAATGCACCTTACAGAGTCATTCATGCTATCTACTAACTACTGATCTAGCCAGTGGCACCTTCATTCATTGCTGTTGCACCAAAAGCTGCCAGATCTTGCAGCTCCGTCACATTTCTAGACGCTGAAACAGAGCGAGCAAGACCTAGAAAATCCCTCGTCACAGTCCCAAAGGCTCCAAGATCATGGCCGCCTTGCTGCGCCCTTTGCAAGGCAGCAGTCAGTGAGTCAGTGTTAAGACCTGCACTCTGCAGGAGCTGCTGTTGCTGCTGCAGCTGTGGTGGCTGCTGCTGCTGCTTGAACTGCTGTTGTTGCTGTTGCTGCCTTGCCATAAGCATATTCTGCAAAGCTGAGGGCATGTCACCTCCAGCACCGAGCAACCCCCCAGTGCCATCCCCCCCAAAAGCCCCTGCAAGTCCACCTGCCAAATCTCCATTGCTTGCAGAGAGCATCGCAGCCATCACAGAGTTCTGGCCTGCTCCAGAGGAGAAAATATCTTGAATGCCCGAAATCCCCTGCTCCAGCCCACCACCATTGCCCCCACCCATGCCACCCCCACCCCAACCATCTGCATTTTCCCCTCCACCCATCCCCACTTGCTGCTGCTGTTGTGGCGCTGTGTTGAAACCGCCTCCTCCTGAGAGAAGGGTGTTGAGCGCGGAAGACAGAGCCCCGTTTGCTCCAAGCTCGGGGTACATGCTGAGAGCAGACTGCAGTGTGTCCACGTTCAGACCAGGAGGTAACTTATCTGCCAATCTCTGAATCAAATCATTTGGAAGCTGCAGCTGTTGCGATTGTTGCTGCTGTTGCTGCTGTTGCTGCTGCTGTTGCTGCTGCTGTTGTTGCTGCTGCCCTCCCATCATCCCCCCACCCCCACCGTTATTTCCCTGGTCGTGCTGCTGCAGCGACCCTGCCAGTGCACTAAAGTTGCCCTGCCCTCCACCCAGGCCAGCAACGGCGTCCAGAAGCCCTGAGTTCTGCCCTCCGCCAAGCGGCAATCCCTGACTCGCCAAAGTCTCAATGGCCCTCGTCAGAAGCGACGACCCTGCACCGCCCGCACCTCCCAGGTTACCCAAGCCTCCAGACCGGGCGAGCACAGCGCCTGCTTGCTGCAGCAGATCCGGGAGGTTCACACCCGAGAGGCCTTGCAGCCCGTCCTGCTGCGCGCCATGCCCTAGGCCATCACCATCGCCTGGTGCAGACCCGTGCAGACCACCGCCACTGGAATTGTAGGGGTCTCCCCCCATGCCCACTCCAGACAGACCCCCTGCAGACCCTGAGAGGTTACCCTGGTTACCACCACCACCACCACCACCATAAACGTTACTGTTCATGTCGCCGCCACCACCAGCGTTAGAAGCGTAGCCAGGGTCCAGATTACCCCCAGGAGGAGCCATGCTGCCGTTGGAGCCGAGAAGCGAGGAGATTAAGGAGCCAATGTCTTTACCGCCAGCTCCGCCTCCCAGGGAAGAGAGAAGACTGGAGACTTTAGAGAGGTCAAGGTTCGCCAGAAGCTGGTTGGATCCTCCCATGTTGCGAAGCGCCTGCAGCAGCACTTGCTGCTGATCCTGGGGCTCCTGTTGCTGCTGCTGTTGCTGTTGCTGTTGCTGCTGCTGTTGCTGTTGCTGTTGCTGCTGCTGTTGCTGTTGCTGCTGTTGCTGTTGCTGTTGCTGTTGCTGTTGTTGCTGCTGCTGCTGCTGCATCAATAAGTGCTGCTGTTGGTCTGACTGCTGTTGCTGCTGCTGCTGCTGCTGATTCTGCTGATTCTGCTGAAGAAGGAGCGCCGCCGCTTCCCCCAGGGAGCCACCTCCGGCACCAGCGAGCAGGCTCGCCATGCTACCGCCACTATTGTTGATCGCCGCAAGGAGAGCGCTCGGGTTCAAACCTCCCTGACTCACAGCCTGCAGCATCTGCTGCTGCGGCGTCATGCCCTGATTCTGCCCTCCGTTGTTGGAACCCTGGCCGAGCCACAGCCCCATACCGCCCCCGCCTTGCTTGTTCATGGCTCGGCTGACCAGATCTGCGAACTCCTGCGACGAAAACTGCTGCTGCGAGCCCTGCTGCTGCGACGATTGAAGCCCCTGCGACTGGAAATTCTGCTGCTGACCTGGCAAAAGGGCTGCGCCAGCGGCAGCGGCTTTCGTGACGTCATCACCGAACATGACGGCAGCGCCTCGCATCGTGTCCCCTTCGAACCCCGCGCCTTTGTGACTCAGTCCGCCGACGCTCCCGGGGCCGGCGCCTGTAGCGGCGGAGTCGCCGGGCTCGGGTTTGACGCTGGTGGGGCCTGTGTCCGCGAGCGCGTCGCAGAAAGCTCTGTGCGTGATGAAGCTGTCGCGCCTGCGGAGTGGAAAACGAACGAAAGAAAGGGGTAAGGTTATAGTGAAGAAATAACGACGCGGAGGTCGTAAGGAGAAAAACAACGGACCTTATAGTGAAAGACAAAGCCGACACGCAAATTTAGGAGATTTGGGAGGGACCGGGGTTAAGATGCAAATGGAAAGGGCTGGTTGTGTTACCTTGAAAAGAGGGTTCCGCAATCGCATCGGTACTCGCGAGTACCGCACGTCTTCATGTGGGCCTTCCAATCCGATTGCACGGCGTATTTCTTCGAACACTTTTCGCACTTGTACTTCTTCTCGCCGTGCTTGCGGCAAAAATGCTTCTTGATCCCGGTCAGATCTCCGAGCGCTCTGGACGGGTCGTGGTGGATGCAGGTGGGCTCCGGGCAGACGTACACCTTCTTGCGCACCTCCTGCGTCGTGCGTTGGCGGAGCTTCCAAGGGAGGTTGTGGCCGCGGCGGTGCAGCTGCAGGTTCTGGTCGCGCTGAAAGCCTTTGTTGCAGATCTCGCACACAAACCGGTTGGTCGCGAGGAGGGTGCGCGGAGACAGGGCCACAACTTCTGCGTCCGGATCTGAAAATAAACAAAATGATAACGGAAGGGATTACCAGAGAGAACAGGACAGAGAAAAGAAGTGAGAAGTGGTAGCGAGAGTGAGAAGCAGCGGTAAGAAGAGGGTCTATAGGACGGATTAAGAAACTCCGGGAGGAGCATCAAATAGCTTTCACACATTGGGAATAAAAAACACCATTGTTTCCGTCAATCGTAATGCGTCAAATGTCGTACCTGGGTTTCCAGGAAGGTTACGCTTCCGCTTCAATGAACCACTGGGCGTGCCCGTGTTCTGAGTCTCCTCTTCCTTCTTCGCAACGCCGTCTGCGCCGCTGCCATCAGACGAGCTGCCGCCTCCAGCATCGTCGTCAAATTGGTTCGGTGGGAGCTGAATCGTCAGCGCCTTTGGAGGAAGCGACATTGAGCCTTGATTGTCCAAGATGATAGCTTAGATTGGAAAAGGTTGGTAGCGTCAACGGTGTTGCGGAAATCCTTTCGGAAGGACTCCAGATCTGAAAACACATCCAACACGGTAAAATAAATAAAGAAGGATATAATTAGGTAAAGAACAACATCGCGAAGCAACAATGCGAGACGCAGACACAAAGCACGAGTCTACTAGTATGTACAATGGGGACGGCCGGAAAGCGCAGGAAGCAACAGCAGATCAGAAACACGTATGAAGGTGCTCCGAAAGGCCATTGTGGATACATAAAAACCAACCATGAACATGGACGACAGAGGTATGAGCTAGTCATTAAGGGCGTACCAAATATCAATGGATGGGTGGAAGCCGCTTTGTCCAGCTTGTCAAGTTTGAACAAAGAAGGCCGAACAGCAAATTGGCTTATCTCTAGCTGGAATCGGATACTACCGCAAACAGCAATCGGTACCAACAGGCAAGGGGTGGGCCCAAGGACGACGACAAGAAAGGGAAAACAGCACAGGAAGAAGCCAGGAGTTCAGGACAGGAGGAAGACAGGACAGGACAGGACAGACGAACTTTGGCTCTCCTCGACCAGCCTCGCAGCCTTTTGGCTGCTTCTCTAGCCCGCCCTCCTCCTGCGGCACAATGGCTTTTGATTTCACCGCACGCGATGGATGACCTCGAGGGCCTGCCCAAGCGCCGCCTGGCCACCTTGCGCCGAGGGTTTCGTTTTGAAGTGAGGAGTGCGCGGGGCTGGGGGAGTTCTGAAGAACTCGATGGTGTTGGAGTTTCTGCCCCTTGCCTTACGGTCACCGTAAAGGATCTTGAAGACCAATGGCAACGCAGAAACGACTTTTTTTTTACAGTTTCCAAGAAGGGTCAAGATCTCGATGCTCCTCTCTTCAGAGTTTTGCTAGGGAGGGAATCGAGATGGCGCAGAAATGGTGCGGATGGGATGCTGGTTGCGCGGAAGCCTGTGTTGCGGAGAGCTGTGTTGCGGAGAACTGTTTCGCCGCAGTGAGGAAAAGCGGGGTGGAGTTTCTAGGGAATGGGTTTTTGGCTTGGCCGACGATGGCCAACCAGGGGATATCAAGGTCTGATCGTACGGTAAATATCGTTTGACCCCAACCTTATCGACGGTTCACGGCATGTTTCCGAAGTGATAAGGTTGGGCAGTCAAAGTGCAACTACTTGTTTCCTAGCAGCCAGCCTGATGCTGTTGCATGCAACCATACTGCCTCCTCCGCGAATCCAAGAAGGCTGCGAGCAGCCATGGCCATTGCGAAACCGACGGAGCAATGAGGGCAAGCAAAACAAAACAGAGTGACAGGTATCTTGTCGCCAACACCAAAGAAAGCGTCCAAAGTCGTTCGTGTTGATGGAGCACATCGCACACTTGCAGTCGGAAAACGCCAAGCCTCGTTGACAGTTTAGCGCACTGAGTTGGAAAATAAATCATCATTCAGCGATGACATCAAAAGAGCAGATGCTGTACAAAACCGTCAGCCGATCTTTTCAGCCAACACAAGGTCGAGCTATTGGGGCAATAGCTAATTTCGATACCATCCAGACCATTTTTTGTGACTGAGATCTCTACCCCGTGTAGTTCGGGTCTGATGAGGAAAACTCTCATGTCCGACTTGAAAAATATATTTTCATATAGCTCTGTTCTTTAAATTATTTCACCTGGTCACCCTTCGATTTCCACCACATGCTTGGGAGGCTGCCGCGTCCGAGCTGACAGTATTCGGACAAAAATGGGTGGCAGTGACACGCAAACATCCCGAGTCCCGACTTGACACGAGACTAAACCGTTACAAGCAGAATGGAACCACCAGACAAAACATGTATACAACCATATTACACAAGAGAACTACAACTGCAAAAACAGAAATCAAAACTGTGTGCGTTGCCGATTCCTTCGTGATGGCAGTGGTAGGGATACCCCTGCATTCATCAATACATCTAAAAGGTCCCACGATGGATCAATCTCTGGAGCATCATTCATCCGAGACACCGCTCCTGTGCTATCCCGCCTGCCCGTTCCTCGACCATCAGGTGATTCGTACAAATGCTGCCACCACTTCTTCCTGATTGGTGGAGGCGCAGAAGCAGGAGCCGAGCTGGCAACTGGAACATTTGGCGTGACAGGCGAAACTCTAGCCCTGGAACCACCAGTGGAGGCTCTCCTGGTATCCATGGCGCCACCTCCTGACACTGGTTCACCTAACGCTGGTTCCTCAGTCGTCCCTTCCTTGCGCCTACTCCTCCCTTCATGCTTCAGCCCACGTGCTCGCTTTCTTCCCTCACTTGCAACCTGCGGCCTTTCCTGTAAACCACCCTCCTCAGCATCATCAGCACAGCCCATGCCTTCCCCTGGAGTTGCTGTGGGTGTGTCAGCAGGGCTCCCAGTGCTCTTCCTCCTCCGCCCAACCACCACCACTTCAAACTCCAGCTCTTCCGCCACTGAGCCCTCACCCAATCCCGGCACCACTGCGCATCGGGACGACCTGAAGAGTACATCTCCATCCTTGGGAACGTCCTTCCCATAACTCCCATCCTTCCCATCCTTCTCCTGACTGTGCCTCCTGTTCTTTTCCTTCACCCTGCTCTGATCCTGGACGGCAGAACCTGGCCTTTTGTTGGATCCATCAAGCCCTGCAGCAATGGCTGCTGCCACCTCGCCGGCCATTTTGGAAGCTAGTGCCTCGGCGATCGTGTCAGCAGCTGCAGCGGTTACTCCCGGCACATCCACTGCCACTCTCGCTGACATGTCAATCTTTGAGATTTGCTTGCTGCGCTGTAAAGCCGCTGAACCTTTCGCAGCCGATGCTCTTTTTCCTGCCTCCTTCGCTCCAGCCTCTCCTGTTCCTCTGTTCTTCCCTCCCCTTGTCCCCCGCTCCTCAGATTCTGGCACTCCTTGTGCTCCCTCTCCGCCCCTTGCTTCCGTCCTGTCTTCAGGAACCACCGCCTCGTACTGCGTCTCACTCCCCGCACGGGCACCACTGCCAGCACCAGCCACGCCCCCCTGCTTCTCACGTACCTCAAAAGAGCTCCCCTCGCCGCCACGTGCACTGCCACTACCACGGCCAAGGACAGCCAAGCCTGTCTTTCCTGTCTGCCTGTCCTCCCCTGCGCCCTTCTCTTCCCTCCGCCTCTTCCCAATTACTCCTACCTGCTCTCTCACCCATCCCCCCTCAACTGCTACTCTGGCTACCTCTTGTTCCCCCCCACCCACCACCCCTGTTGCCCCACCTCCCATCCCCCCCACATCCATTCTCACTCCCCCTCCCGTCCCCCCCACCTCCACCACTAAATCCGTCTCCTCCTCCTCACCTGCACTTCTCTCCCCCCCCCCTCCTCCTAGATCCACCCCACGCTCACGGCCCACCAACAACCTCTCCCCTTCCTCATCCGCCTCCACTCCCTCCTCCTCCTCCTTCTCCTTCTCCCGCTCCCCCTCAGCTATCTCTGGAACCCCTCCCACACCAACCACCACCTCCGCTTCCTCTGAGCCCGCCTCATTCCCTTGTTCTGTGTCCGCCTCGTTTGCCTCCTCTGCCTGCTCCTCATGCCCTTCCTCCTCCTCCTGCATCTCCTGGGCTGCAACGCCATCTCTCTCCTGGGTTGCTGCGGGCGATTTTTGAGAATGCTCGGATGCTGCAGGAGACTCTTCATAATGCCCTGTTGTTGCAGCCGTATCTTGGGATCTATCAACAGAAATCTCCTGCACTTCAGCTCCATGTGTCTCCTGGGTGTCATATGCCTCTGTCCACTGCACGTTTTTCTCCTCCTGTGTCCTCAGCAATTCCGCCTCCTCTTCCCCGAGCGCCATCCCCTCTGACTTTTGAGTCAACTCAGAAGTCAGCTTCTCAACAGACGTCTCCTGCACTTCATCTCCATGTGTCTCCTGGCTGTCATATGCCTCTCTCCACTGCACGTCCTCCTCCTGTGCCTTACGCGATTCCTCTTCCTCTGGCACTAGCACCAACCCCTCTGCGTCCTGCGTCTCCTCGTCAGCAACAGCAACAGCTTCAGCAGTAGTAGCAGTAGTAGCAGTAGTAGCAGCAGTAGTAGCAGCAGTAGCAGCAGTATCAGCAGTGGCTGTAGCAACATCAGCCCCTGTGGAGGCAGCAGCAGCAGCAGCAGCAGCAGCAGCAGCAGCAGGAACATCCCCGTCCCTCTCTCCTCTGTCTTCCTGTGATTCATGGCCACCTGCACCACCACCACCACCACTGTCGCCCTTGCCACCACCAATGCCACCCCCAGCGTCGACACTGGAGCCACCAGAAAAGAGGCTCTTGGCAAAGCGAGTGAAAGTGCCGTAGACTGAACTTATACCCCCCACCCTCTCCGCCCTCCTCTTCTCCTCCACCTCCTGCCCACGTTCTTTTGCTGTCGCATTCCCCACCTCCCCTTCTCCCTGCACCTCCTCCTCTCCCTCTCCCTCCACCTCCTTTTCTCCCTCCACCTCCATCGCTCCCTCCACCTCCCCTTCTTTGCCTGCATCACCATCCAAAGCCATGGGGACATCGGAGGGAGCTCCAGACACATCCGCAAGGGCTGCAGCAGAGTCATCCGCGCCCACATGCCTCACGTCCTTTGTCTGTTGCGTCTCATACGAGCCCTCCTCCGCCCCATCCCCAGGCAGCCACGCCTCAAACGTTGGCTTCACAGCCCCATCTGCCATCTCCACATCGTCCCCTCCTCCCTGCCCATCCTCCACATCATTTCCTCCCCCCTGCCCATCCTCCTTCCCCTCAGCATCCCTGCTCGCCTGCTCGCGTTCCTTCTCCTCCTCCACCTCCTGGATCACAGGGCTGCCTGCTTCTTCTTCCCCTTGAAGGTGAGCTCCAGGTTTTGAGTCAAGGCTGCCGTACTGAGCCAAGGCCTCAGCTTGCACTGCGCCCCCCTCTTCCTCCTCCTCAGTGGCTTCTCTTCTCCGCCCCCTCACCTCCTCCGACTCCTCCCTCACTTCCTCCGCCTGCTTCCTCCCCTCAGTCCGTTCTGTCCCTTCCACCTCAGTCACCTCCCTTCCATCCTCCGTCTCCTTCCTCTCGCCTCCCTCCTGCCCCTCCTTGTCTCCCACAGCCAGCTCCACTCCCCCTCCGCCCTCCTCCTCCCCATCTGCCTCTTCCTCCTCTCCCTCCCCTACCCCTGCCCCTCCTTCCTCAACCCTCCCTGCCTCGTGTCCCATCTGTCGGCCACTGTCACCTTCACCTCCTCTTTCCATCTCCATGCTTGATGCCCGCACCTCTCCACTCCGCATCTCTGTTCCATCGCCCCCCTCCCCTTCCTTCCCTCCACTCATCTCCTCCCTCGGGCCCACTTCCTCTCCACCCCCACCCACTCGAGCACACTCATTACTTAGCTCCTTTTCCATTCGCGTGGCCTCTCGCCCCCCATCTCTCACTTCCCCCACCCCTCCCTCGCCTTCCCTTCCCACGTGTCCCTCTCTAGCCCCCTCTTCGCCTGCCCCACCGCCCTCTTCCCCGTTACCAGCTGCTGCATTGCCCTGTTTCTCTGCAAATCCCACGTTCCCATTAGAATCTGCTTCACCACTGTCCTTAACCACCTTCCCCTCCTCGCCCCCATTCTGCTCAGCAGCATCCTCCTCATTCCCAGTAGAAGCAGCTGTATTGTTGCCCGTGTCCTCCATAGAAGCAGCTGCGTTATTGTCCTTGTCTCCCATAGATCCAGCTGCGTTATTGTCCTTATCCCCCATAGAAGCAGATGCGTTATTGTCCATGTCCCCATCGCCCAGCGTGTGAGCGTGGTCAGCGGGCAGCGGGAAGAGATCGGCGGAATCTGGGAACTCCTGAGTCACAGGCTGAACGCTGCTACACCTGCAGGCACACATGCCAGTCAGAGGCAGGAAACGAGAGTGCAATTGCAATAGGCGAAGGCAGCATGGGATGAGTCTTGAGAGAAGGTTTGTGCATGATCCGATGAGACGTGCAGCCCAGGGCGAGGACAAGTGACAATGATAGGACGAAAAAGCGTGGTTACTGCCTCCTGCAGAAGCACTTTTGAGTTTGAAAAAGAGACGGTTCGAGGAAGAATATGGAACATGCGGCAGCGGGTACAAGGCATGAGTTAGGGCGTGCCAGAGATGCGAGCAACAGAGTGAGTGCAATAAAAGATGCGAGCAACAGAGAGCGTGCAATATGAGATGCGAGCAACAGAGAGCGTGCAATATGAGATGCGAGCAACAGAGAGCGTGCAATATGAGATGCGAGCAACAGCGAGCATGCAATATGAGATGCGAGCAACAGAGAGCGTGCAATATGAGATGCGAGCAACAGAGAGCGTGCAATATGAGATGCGAGCAACAGAGAGCGTGCAATATGAGATGCGAGCAACAGAGAGCGTGCAATATGAGATGCGAGCAACAGAGAGCGTGCAATATGAGATGCGAGCAACAGAGAGCGTGCAATATGAGATGCGAGCAACAGAGAGCGTGCAATATGAGATGCGAGCAACAGAGAGCGTGCAATATGAGATACGAGCAACAGAGAGCGTGCAATATGAGATGCGAGCAACAGAGAGCGTGCAATATGAGATGCGAGCAACAGAGAGCGTGCAATATGAGATGCGAGCAACAGAGAGCGTGCAATATGAGATGCGAGCAACAGAGAGCGTGCAATATGAGATGCGAGCAACAGAGAGCGTGCAATATGAGATGCGAGCAACAGAGAGCGTGCAATATGATATGCGAGCAACAGAGAGCGTGCAATATGAGATGCGAGCAACAGAGAGCGTGCAATATGAGATGCGAGCAACAGAGAGCGTGCAATATGAGATGCGAGCAACAGAGAGCGTGCAATATGAGATACGAGCAACAGAGAGCGTGCAATATGAGATGCGAGCAACAGAGAGCGTGCAATATGAGATGCGAGCAACAGAGAGCGTGCAATATGAGATGCGAGCAACAGAGAGCGTGCAATATGAGATGCGAGCAACAGAGAGCGTGCAATATGAGATGCGAGCAACAGAGAGCGTGCAATATGAGATGCGAGCAACAGAGAGCGTGCAATATGAGATGCAATATGAGATGCGAGCAACAGAGAGCGTGCAATATGAGATGCGAGCAACAGAGAGCGTGCAATATGAGATGCGAGCAACAGAGAGCGTGCAATATGAGATGCGAGCAACAGAGAGCGTGCAATATGAGATGCGAGCAACAGAGAGCGTGCAATATGAGATGCGAGCAACAGAGAGCGTGCAATATGAGATGCGAGCAACAGAGAGCGTGCAATATGAGATGCGAGCAACAGAGAGCGTGCAATATGAGATGCGAGCAACAGAGAGCGTGCAATATGAGATGCGAGCAACAGAGAGCGTGCAATATGAGATGCGAGCAACAGAGAGCGTGCAATATGAGATGCGAGCAACAGAGAGCGTGCAATATGAGATGCGAGCAACAGAGAGCGTGCAATATGAGATGCGAGCAACAGAGAGCGTGCAATATGAGATGCGAGCAACAGAGAGCGTGCAATATGAGATGCGAGCAACAGAGAGCGTGCAATATGAGATGCGAGCAACAGAGAGCGTGCAATATGAGATGCGAGCAACAGAGAGCGTGCAATATGAGATGCGAGCAACAGAGAGCGTGCAATATGAGATGCGAGCAACAGAGAGCGTGCAATATGAGATGCGAGCAACAGAGAGCGTGCAATATGAGATGCGAGCAACAGAGAGCGTGCAATATGAGATGCGAGCAACAGAGAGCGTGCAATATGAGATGCGAGCAACAGAGAGCGTGCAATATGAGATGCGAGCAACAGAGAGCGTGCAATATGAGATGCGAGCAACAGAGAGCGTGCAATATGAGATGCGAGCAACAGAGAGCGTGCAATATGAGATGCGAGCAACAGAGAGCGTGCAATATGAGATGCGAGCAACAGAGAGCGTGCAATATGAGATGCGAGCAACAGAGAGCGTGCAATATGAGATGCGAGCAACAGAGAGCGTGCAATATGAGATGCGAGCAACAGAGAGCGTGCAATATGAGATGCGAGCAACAGAGAGCGTGCAATATGAGATGCGAGCAACAGAGAGCGTGCAATATGAGATGCGAGCAACAGAGAGCGTGCAATATGAGATGCGAGCAACAGAGAGCGTGCAATATGAGATGCGAGCAACAGAGAGCGTGCAATATGAGATGCGAGCAACAGAGAGCGTGCAATATGAGATGCGAGCAACAGAGAGCGTGCAATATGAGATACGAGCAACAGAGAGCGTGCAATATGAGATACGAGCAACAGAGAGCGTGCAATATGAGATGCGAGCAACAGAGAGCGTGCAATATGAGATGCGAGCAACAGAGAGCGTGCAATATGAGATGCGAGCAACAGAGAGCGTGCAATATGAGATGCGAGCAACAGAGAGCGTGCAATATGAGATGCGAGCAACAGAGAGCGTGCAATATGAGATGCGAGCAACAGAGAGCGTGCAATATGAGATGCGAGCAACAGAGAGCGTGCAATATGAGATGCGAGCAACAGAGAGCGTGCAATATGAGATGCGAGCAACAGAGAGCGTGCAATATGAGATGCGAGCAACAGAGAGCGTGCAATATGAGATACGAGCAACAGAGAGCGTGCAATATGAGATACGAGCAACAGAGAGCGTGCAATATGAGATGCGAGCAACAGAGAGCATGCAATATGAGATGCGAGCAACAGAGAGCGTGCAATATGAGATACGAGCAACAGAGAGCGTGCAATATGAGATGCGAGCAACAGAGAGCGTGCAATATGAGATGCAAGCAACAGAGAGCGTGCAATATGAGATACGAGCAACAGAGAGCGTGCAATATGAGATGCGAGCAACAGAGAGCGTGCAATATTAGATGCGAGCAACAGAGAGCGTGCAATATGAGATGCGAGCAACAGAGAGCGTGCAATATGAGATGCGAGCAACAGAGAGCGTGCAATATGAGATGCGAGCAACAGAGAGCGTGCAATATGAGATGCGAGCAACAGAGAGCGTGCAATATGAGATGCGAGCAACAGAGAGCGTGCAATATGAGATGCGAGCAACAGAGAGCGTGCAATATGAGATGCGAGCAACAGAGAGCGTGCAATATGAGATGCGAGCAACAGAGAGCGTGCAATATGAGATGCGAGCAACAGAGAGCGTGCAATATGAGATGCGAGCAACAGAGAGCGTGCAATATGAGATGCGAGCAACAGAGAGCGTGCAATATGAGATGCGAGCAACAGAGAGCGTGCAATATGAGATGCGAGCAACAGAGAGCGTGCAATATGAGATGCGAGCAACAGAGAGCGTGCAATATGAGATGCGAGCAACAGAGAGCGTGCAATATGAGATGCGAGCAACAGAGAGCGTGCAATATGAGATGCGAGCAACAGAGAGCGTGCAATATGAGATGCGAGCAACAGAGAGCGTGCAATATGAGATGCGAGCAACAGAGAGCGTGCAATATGAGATGCGAGCAACAGAGAGCGTGCAATATGAGATGCGAGCAACAGAGAGCGTGCAATATGAGATGCGAGCAACAGAGAGCGTGCAATATGAGATGCGAGCAACAGAGAGCGTGCAATATGAGATGCGAGCAACAGAGAGCGTGCAATATGAGATACGAGCAACAGAGAGCGTGCAATATGAGATACGAGCAACAGAGAGCGTGCAATATGAGATGCGAGCAACAGAGAGCGTGCAATATGAGATGCGAGCAACAGAGAGCGTGCAATATGAGATACGAGCAACAGAGAGCGTGCAATATGAGATGCGAGCAACAGAGAGCGTGCAATATTAGATGCGAGCAACAGAGAGCGTGCAATATGAGATGCAAGCAACAGAGAGCGTGCAATATGAGATACGAGCAACAGAGAGCGTGCAATATGAGATACGAGCAACAGAGAGCGTGCAATATTAGATGCGAGCAACAGAGAGCGTGCAATATGAGATGCGAGCAACAGAGAACGTGCAATATGAGATGCGAGCAACAGAGAGCGTGCAATATGAGATGCGAGCAACAGAGAGCGTGCAATATGAGATGCGAGCAACAGAGAGCGTGCAATATGAGATGCGAGCAACAGAGAGCGTGCAATATGAGATGCGAGCAACAGAGAGCGTGCAATATGAGATGCGAGCAACAGAGAACGTGCAATATGAGATGCGAGCAACAGAGTGAGTGCAATATGCAATATGAGATGCGTGCGAGCAGCAATGCATGCAAGGGTCAACCAATGTGAGTGCTTAGCTCACCCGAATGACCCATAGCTATCAGTGGCCAGCCAGCGAGCCTCCTCTGCAGGGACCTCCTCCACTTGCGCCATGTCAGAAGCAGGCTCGCGGGCCACGTCAGCAACGGGTACTCCAGCCACGTCAGCACCAGGCCCTTGAGCGGCACGAAGGCTAAACGTGCCAGTGGCAGGCTCAGGAGGAGCGGCTGAAGCAGCAGCAATAGGGGCGACTGCAGCAGCAGGTGTAACATCAGGTGTAGCATTGGGTGTAGCGTCAGGTGTAGCATCAGCTGTAGCATCAGGTGTAGCATGTGTAGCATTAGAAGTAACATTAGGAATATCATCAGGTGTAGCACCAGGTATAGCAGCAGCTGTAGCAGCAGCTGTGGCCGTTGTAGCTGCATCGGAAACAACAGCCGCTGCCACTGAAACTCCCTCAACAGTCTCCTCTGATGCCTGCACAGACCCAACAAGGAAGAAAGCAAAATTTAGCTCTCGAATAAAAACATCTCTCATTACACTCCTCTGCACATCCCCAACACACACACACCACCCCCCCCAACAACTCCCCAGCCCATCCCCCTCCACAGCTCTCAGCCCATCCCTGCACATCACACTTGGTACACACCTGCTGCAGCACATCCATGCCTTCCGGTCCCTGTGCACGCCCATGCAGCCCACCCTCCGCACCAGCACCGGCATTGGCTTCAGCATGAGGATCGGCATCAGCCTCGGCAACAGCCTCGGCAACAGCCTCGGCATGGGCATCAAAACCAGCCCGCCTGTCCTCGTCATGCTGCTGCAGGCTGAGCACGCGCACGTCGGGCGACAGGTGGCCGTGCATATCCGGCGATAGGAGTGCGTGTGTGTCCGCGTCCGTGGAGAATGGCTGCGTGTGCATTCCACACGCACTCTCACCCCCCACACCTCCAAACCCAATGTCAGAGTCAACGTGCACTGCCGCGTGAGCGTGTGTGTTAATGTCAGTGTCCGCATCAGCAGGGGCTGAGATGTGAGCGTGGGTGCTAATATCAGTGTCAGTATCAGTGTGAACGGTGCATGCTTCCCTTGCACCTCCTACGCCTGCTGCTGCCATCCCACCCCTCTCAACCCCTTCTTCCGCCCCTCCCGGACCACTCACTTCCTCCTCACCACCTGCCGCAGCTGCATCAAACCTCCTCGTCTCCTGTCCTCTTCCAGCTCCAGGTTCTGCAGCAGGCTCGGGTACAGGCACGGGAGGAGGCATCGCAGGTGGGTAGGTGGCGAATGGCTGGATATCCGGCTTAATGTCTTGGGAGATTAGCTGTGAGAAGTCCTGGGATAGAGCTCCTTGCGGCGAGACTGGCTGGCTGTTCTGCCACGTCAGGTCTATGGCGTCATCGTGCCAGTCTGGCATGGCCACGTCATCGGAAGGGACCTCCACCGTCACACCCTCCCAACCTGTTAGCGAGAAAGGAGGAGGTTAGGGAGGGGAGCGGTGGGGGGCGCGTGTGGGAAAGTGGGGGGAGGGGATATGCCGCGGAGGGGGCGAAGGGGGGGAAGGGAGGGCGTGGTGCACTGAAGAACGACACTGGCGTGGTCATGGAGCACGAAAGGAGGCCTGAAAACAGAAATAAGGATGTTTGCCTAGGAAGCACCGGTTGTAAGTTGACTGCTGGCGTGATTGACAAGTCACGGCAAATCCATGACGTGAATTTCTCGAACAGGCGTAGCTAAGGCGTGGTTAATGGGTCATTCATATGCTTGCCTTCTTGAAGATGCAGTGCCTCCTCCTGCGACGTGCTCACTAACGCGTCCTCCAGCACCTGACAGAGGCCATGGAGGAAACATGACGACCGGGGCGTACAACGAAAATGGAAATGCAAATACACGACCAAATTTTAGAAATAAAAATAACCAGATGATGGAGGTATACAGAACTAAAGTGTCGCACAGGACGGAACAGGAAAGATAACGTTAGCAAGCAAAGAAGCAGTCTCAAAGCCATAGCAACTGACCTGATCGACTTGCATCTCAACCTCTTCGCTTGAATCATCCTGGCGGGGATTCTCTCCTTTCTCGCCGTTCAGCTGTGAATCCATCCCAGATGCGCCTTCGTCTCGACCATCCCTCTGAGATTCCAGGCCCGTAACCTCTTGGTTAGTGTCGGCCTCCCTTCCTTCCGGCTCTGTCGAATCCGGAATACACTGGTCACCATCGCGAAGGTTTGTTTCGTCTAAGCTTTCACCTGGATCACCCTCGTGGTTACTTAACGCAGCCATACGGTTTGTCGGAAACCGAAGCTTCGAATACGCTCGGGCAAAAGTAAGATCTGTACGGGATCGTAACGATAGGCACCAGGGAATTCGCTGGGGTCGGGGATGAGTGTGGCTGCTTGTCCTAGCTCATTCCCTGAAAATATGGAACCATTTGGAGTACTTTTTTGCCGTTGCAGTTGCTACTGTACGGTTGTGAATAGTTTTCCCGCTTGTTTGATGGGTCAGAAACTGTTTGGTGTAGATATTGCAAGGTAATGAGGGGTTTCCGGAATGAAGGGTTGGGCTGGGTTGGGATCTTTGGAGAATCGAAACATCGGGTTCTCCACCTCGTGAATAGACACATCCTGTACTCTGACACAACTCTTCTGGCTGATCACGAAGGCATAGCTTGGTTCTTTGGTTCACCAACCGTCTCGCCTGCACGACTTTAGGAACAACCTGCTTTCTTAACTTCCAAGATCCGTCCGCTACGATAGTATGCGTCACGTAGACATGAGCAGCGAGCCGTTCACAGTCTCCGTTGCTGATGACGTGGCGCTAGCGGATGTTGAGCACTGGCTGTTGTTCGACGAAGCCGTTCTGCCTCATCCTCCGCCTTCCAGCGACGACTCTCATTCGCTGACGCAACTTTTCTCAGATTTACCGTTTATTCCCTCAGATCCGTCACTCGCTTTCTTGACAGACGACCATGCTCCTGTAGTTGATGCGTATATAGGAGACACTAACGCAGACAATGCTCCTACACGCGATGCTCCCGCTAACCAGGGCGAAGTTAGTCCAGAACTGCGATTGGATTATCTATTCGGAGGGCTCACGGAGAGGTGGACTCTACCTGCTTCGGATGGCGGAGATATCATACGACAAACAGACACGCGCGAGGCGTGTACGGATGGATCCGGTGAAGCATGTCCGATTATAACAAGCTTCGCGGATTTCGTCGATACGCGCGACTCAAGCGGCGTGAACCATAGCCATGGCTCTGCCACGCCCGAGGATGGCCGAGTAGAGAGGGTCGAATTTTTGCGTCTGGGGACGAGGTATGTCCCGGACGCAGGAAACGTTTTTGCAGCCAGCAGTTTAGACACATGCCTGCCAGAACAGGCTGGTCCGTCCACGTGGCTTCCTGATCCACCTCGGAATGCAGAGGGGGAATTAGAACAAGGTTTGTCTGCCACGTCAGCATCCGTTCTGCGCGCATTGCAGCTTGATGGTTCCAGTTCGCAGGTGCTGACCTTCGAGGAATCTTCGGACAGGCTCTTCGCGGCGACAGCGCCAGCGACTTTTCAGATCGCGAGGGGGCACTGGGAGCAGGGGCAGCGTGAGCAAGCACACAGGGCGCAGCTGCTGTTGCCAGAACAGGAGGAAGCGCAGAATCTGCTGCTAACGCCGCAACAGTCGCAGCAGCGGAAGCAGCAGCAGTCACAGCAACAGTCGCAGCAGCAGTCGGAGCAGCAGTCGCAGCGACAGTCGCAGCAGCAGTCGCAGCAACAGTCGCACCAGCAGTCGCACCAGCAGTCGCACCAGCAGTCGCTGCAGCAGAAGAAGCAGCAGTCGCAGCAGCAAAGGCGAGACCACGATTCAGGCGAGCAGGAGCAGCAGCAGCAGGGACCCCGTCAGTCTAGCATACCCGCCAGCACGCATCCTTTCCCCTCCGCCATCCATGCCCGTCCCTCTCCGCCCCATCGCTCCTCCCCCGCCCAGCGCCCCTCTCCTTTCCTCGGCGGTGATATAGGAGTGGGTGGACTCAGAGGGCCTTCCGCCGACCCTCCCTCCGCTCTGCCCCCGCGCAAGCTGCCTCGGCGCCCACCGGACCTCTCCTCCCGCCTCGCCGCCGTGCTGCAAAACATCAACCCCCCCCGCCTTGCGCCCTTCCCTGGGCAACCCCTCCCCTTCTCGCCCAAGCCGGGCCTTCCTTCTCCTGCCACGCCCGCAGCTCCCACCTCGCCTGCAGCTCCCGCTGCCACTGCGTCTACCACTGCAGCTCAGTCGTTTCCTGTGCTGGCATCCTCCACAGCAGCAGCAGCAGCAGCAGCAGCAGCAGCAGCAGCCATTCCACCAGCACCAGGAGTAGTCGCACAAGCAACAGCAAGAACAGCAGCAGTAGCAGCAGCAGCAGTAGCTTCCGCAGTGTCCTCTTTACAGGCGCCAGCGAGCAGGCTCGTGGTTGGTGAATGTCGGGGAGGCGCGCGTTCTTTTATGGGCTCTACACTGCCCTCCTCTGCTGCTCGCACGAGCGACGCTGCTGCTTATGGATATGACCAGCGAGTGCAATGGCCAGCATACTATTCGCAACAAGAGAATTGTCATCAGCTGCAACCACTGCAGCTCCCGCCGCAGCGACAGCAGGAGAGAAATTTGCAGTGGCAGAATCAGCATCAGCTGCTGCAGCAGCAGCAGGAGGCAGGAGCAGCAGCAGCAGCACGGAACAATGTGGACAGCAATGCACTTGACAGAATTTGCCTCCGTACGGCGCACAGCAACCCTTTAAGCACGGCCCTGGACAGTGCAGATAACCGTGCAGCAAGCAGGGCGTCCCTCCCCGTTCCCCACGTTGCTGCATTCGGCCCCGAGAGGCCTCTGCGAGTGGATGTGTCGGGCATGCTGCCGCAGTCCGTATGTGGCGCGAGGGAGGGCATGCTGAAGCAACAGCTCATGGCTCTCGCTGAAGCCATGGCCGTTGGTGACTCGGTGCGTGGGGCGTGTGTCAAGTGGGGGGTGGGATGAATAGTCCAGAACCAGGCATGGCTTGTGTGGAGTGGGGAGTGGGCTGCCTAGTCAAGCAAGGCATGGCTTGTGTTCGTTGTCTCCTGCTGATGCATGGTTGAGCAAGAGTTGCAGTGCACTACTTCAAGTCTTGTTCTCCTCCTTTCTTCTTCCCCTCCCCTATCTCATTTCATCCCCTCCCCACCTCATTTCATCCCTTCCCCCACCTCATTTCATCCCCATCCCCACCTCACTTCTTCCCATTCCGCACCTCATTTCATCCCCTCCCCCACCCTCCCCCACCTCACTTCTTCCCTTTCCGCACCTGATTTCATCCCCTCCCCCATCTCACTTCCTCCCATTCCGCACCTGATTTCATCCCCTCCCCCATCTCACTTCCTCCCATTCCGCACCTCATTTCATCCTCTCCCCCACCTCACTTCCTCCCCAGCTCAACCCTCACCAGGCGCACTCGCGTGCAAGCTGGAGCCAAAGGGATCTGCTCACTCACACACCTCTCCCCTTGTCTTCATTCCCCCCCATTCCTTCCTTCTCCCCTTCCCGGCCTTCTCCCTGCCTCCCTTGCCCCGCCCCTACCCACCAGGTGCGGTGGTGGGACTGCATGCGCCATGTTGTCCTGTCCAAACGCCCTGATGTCGCTACACTGGCGAATCATCCCTTCCCTTCCACCAAACCCCTACCCCACCAGGTGCGCTGGCGGCACTTCAAGCACCAGGTGCTCGTATTGAAAGGCACTTGGATGTCTCATCAATATCTGACCCATCCCCACTCTTTCGTACCAAACCCCTACCCCACCAGGTGCGGTGGCGGCAGTTCATGCGGCAGGTGCGGAGGGAGGCGGCAGCGGGGGGGGACACGCTGCAGCGCATTGCCTTCCACGCGCTGGAGGCGCTGCAGGCGCGCATGGATGGCACCGCGCTCACTCGCTGGCAAGCCCCCTTGAAAGTCACCCTTCAGGTACATCCTTTCCGCACTCCCCACCTTCCCCTCTCCCCATCTTCCCCACCTCACCACCTTCCCCTCTCCCCATCTTCTCCACCTCCCCACCTTCCCCACTCCCCCTCTCCCCCCTCCCCCACATGTCATGCCATGTGGCCGATGCATGCCACGTGTCCACTGCATGTCATGTGCCCCATGCACGCCGTACGACCCATACATCCCATCCATCCCTTCCATCCCATGCCTCCCATCCATCCCATCCATCCCACATTCCATGTGAGCAGGATTTGATGGCAGCGATGGGCCACGGCAGCGAGCATGGGATGCCGACATTCATGCACCTCGCCAACATTGCAGCCGTGCACGAAATTGTTCACGCATTCACCCACCAACCACACGCACACGCGCGCACACACCCACGCCCACATGCACACACACACCCGCACACACACTCACACACACAGAGCCGCCCCACACACACCACCACCCACGGCCATGCTCCCCATTCCCCTGCCACCCACCCACACACTCCGCACGCCCCTGCTCCACCTCCACAGCCTGCCTCATTCCCTGCCTCTGCCCCGGCCTCTGCCGGCCACTCCGTGCGGCGGCGGCGGCTGCACATCATAGCCATGGGATTCTACGGCGGGCCGCACTGGGTCAACATCTTCTTGCGCCTCGCTGCCCACTTTCCCCCCACCCCCCCCTCCCGTGCTGCTGCCACCAATGGGGATGCACCTGTGGCAAGCAGCAATAGCTCCACCAGCAGCGGCAACAGGAGCGGCAGCAGTGCTAGCACGCACCCCACAACCCCCCCCACACCTCTTTTACACGCTACCCCCCCGCCCCGCCTCATGGCCCACGTGAAAATCACAGCCGTTGATTTCGGGATCGTCAAAGTGGAGGAAAATCCGACGGGCCTGGTGCATCTGGGGGGGCGGTACCTGGAGCAGGTTGCATCAATGCTCGGGCTCTCCATGTCGTTCCACGGCATAGGAACAAACCTGCACGACTTCCACCCATCACAAGTGGAGGTGGATGAGGGCGAGGAGGTAGTGGTCCTGGCCAATTGGGGCCTCATGGTCTTCCCAGACGACACAGTGCTTCGCTCCAACCCCCGCAACACGATTCTCAAGTGGATCCGCGACCTGCGCCCGCTGCTCCTCCTGCAGGTAGACATTGATCTCGACGCCAACGGCCCCTTCTTTCTCTCGCGCTTCCACGCCGCATTCGCCAACTTCGCGGCGTGTGTCGAGTCGTTTGATGCTTCCATGCCACACTCCACCACGTCACGCTTCATCGTGGAAAGCATCCTGGCGCGGGACTTTATAAATGGAGTCGCATGCGAGGGCATGAACAGGTGGCTGCGGTCGGAGCGGCTCGAGAAATGGGTGCATCGGATGAGAGCGGTGGGGCTGGAGCCGGTGCCGATAGGGCCGGACACAGTGGCGGCTGGGAGGGAGGCCACGGAGGGGAGGGACAAGAGGTTCCGGCTGGAAGTGCATGGTGAGAGCGGCGCCCTGCAGCTCAGCTGGCGCGGCGTGCCCTTGATCTTCGTGGCCGCCTGGAAATAGCTTGGAGGCAGTGTTAAAAGCTGCAGCGCCCCAATGATCTTTGTAACCGTGTGGAGATGAATCTGCGATCCAAAGTGCTCTGATCCGCAACTTTGAGGGGCAATGGCAAGGTCAGCATCGCGTTCAGGAAGACGGGACTTATCAAACCAGGGTATGGTAGGTCCGGGCCGGTTGATGTGCCTCTTAATCTCCACATTCCTGCATTCGAACCGTCTTGCCCTATTTTTGCACTTGTTTCTCGTGCTTAACGTTTTGCATTTGCTTGTGGCTGTTCATCTTGCCTCCTCCCCTTTTTCCTTGTGGGAACCCCCTTTTGAGTGTGTTCATAACCCATGCTGTAAGCCAGCCTATGACAGGGTTCTGTGATAAGCAAGCTGCCACAACTGATCCTTCGAGCAACTCCAAAAACTCTTCAATTATGTATTGGAATGACTTGACCAAACATTTGATGTCAAATGGACAAGCATTTGTGTTTAGTGCAAATGGCAAAGAAACTGATGTTTTCCAGCATTAGCCTGGGTCAACCAACATATTCTGCTCGGTAGTGTTGTACGTGTCAAACGAAGCATAGTTCTTAACCGGGATTCACACCTCCGGAATTCATCACTTTCCGGGAGTCCATCCGAGCCCTGGTGGATTCGAATCCACCAGGTGCCCCTCCTGGTGGAAGTCGTTTCCACCAGGACGCGGAGCCGGCGGAAGCTGTCTGCCCGGGGGCAAAAAAAACTATTCCCCATCGCGACCGGCATGCCGTTCGGGAGCCTCAACCCTAAAATTTTAGGGTGGATGCCTCCCGAGCCGCGTGCCTTCCGGATGGGTTTTAGTTTTTTTTCTTGCCCGCAGGCAGATCGCTTCCGCGAGCACGCGGAAGCGGTCGCGGATTCGCCCGTGTTTTACTGTTCCTGCTCGTATGAAAGAAACTACCAGGGAACCTTGGGAATCCCAAGTTGGCTTGGGATGCACACCTCGCGAATTCAGGACGCGGCACCTCTAGGGAGGAAGCCACGATCGATCCTGAGTGGGGATCTATCCAGCTCTGTACAGTGAAATCGCGACATCGCCAACAGGCTGGTATCCGTCTTCGCCCTACCTCGCAGGTGTACAGTAAATTGGTGCCCAAAATGGTGGCACCTCTGGCTCGCACGATCGATGTGCCAACGCCCACACATCGATCGTGAAATTGTGGAGATCGGGCAATTTTGCCCCATGTATTTTCGATCCTGTCACCTGTGGCTCGGTGTGTCCAGGCGATTGCAAATCTGCAGTGTGGACACACATCGGTATGCGGATCGATGTGCCTAAACCGGTGTGAGGCCCCGATCCCCCACCGATCCTGACAATTTCCCTAGAGGTGCCGCGTCCTCACACAAATGCAGCTTTTTCGACCCCATGCCCCCACATCTCCATGCACCTTTCAGCTCCTACGGGTGCTGGAGGAAACCTTTCCTCCAACTCCCCGTGTTGGAGGAAACCTGTTGGAGGAATGAGCTGGCAAGCTGACCGCAGGCAGAAAAAAACTAAACCCCAACGCGACCGGCATGCCGTTCGGGAGCCTCAACCCTAAAATTTCAGGGTTTAGGCTCCCGAAGGCATGCCGTTCGCGATGGGGTTTATTTTTTTTCCTTGCCCGCGTTCCGCTTGCTTGCTTTCATACCATAGGTTAGTTTGGCAAAATCCCTCCATAACTGATCACGTAGGCGTAAGTTCGTTCCTTCCCTGCCGATCGTCTCGTATGGGATACAACCTGCTGCTTATAACCTGCAACATCCGACCGCTGCTAAACATTCTGTCACGCAGTCATGAGCGGCGAGCCGGTCACAGTCTTAGTCGCTGATGACTTGGCGCCAGCGGACGTTGAGCATTGGCTGTCGTTCGACGAAGCCCTTCTGCCTCATCCTCCGCTTTCCAGCGACGACCCTCACTTGCAGACGCAAGGTTTCCTGGAGTTGCCGATTACAACCTTAGATCCGTCACTCGCGTTCCTGATACGCGATGATGCTCCGATAGGTGATGCGTATACAGGAGATGCTAACGCAAACTGTGTTCGCATACGCGATGATCCCGATAACCGAGTCGAAGTTAGTCCGAAATTGCGGTTGGATGATTTACTTGGAGATCTGACGGCGAGGGGGACTCCACCAGATTCGGATGGCGTAGATCCTGTACGACAAACAGAGAGGTGCGAGGCGTGTATGGATGGATTCGGTGAAGCAGATGCGATTATAACGAGTTTTGCGGATTTTATAGATGCGTGGGACTTCAGTGGCGTGAGCCATAGCCATGACACTGCCGCGCCTGAGGACGGCGGAGTAGAAAGGGTTGAATTTTTGCGTCCGGGGGCGAGGTATGTCCCGAACGCAGGAAACGTTCTTGCAGCCAGCAGTTTAGACACGTGCCTGTCAGAGCAAGCTGATCCGTCCACGTGGCTTCCTGATCCACCTCGGAATGCTGAGCGGGGATCAGAACAAGGTTTGTCTGCCACGTCAGCTTCCGTTCTGCGCGAATTGCAGCCTGATGGTTCCGGTTCGCAGGTTCTGACCTTCGAGGAAGCTTCGGACACTCTGTTCGCGGCGACAGCGCCAGCGACTTTTCAGATCGCGAGGGGCCACTGGGAGCAGGTGCAGCGTGAGCAAGCACTGAGGGCGCAGTTGCTTCCGCCAGAGCAGGAGGAACCGCAGAATCAGTTGCTGACGCCGCTGCAACAGTCGCAGCAGCAGCCGCAGCCGCAGTCGCAGCAGCAAAGGCAATATTACGATCCAGGCAATATTACGCAGCATCAGCAGGATTTTCTCCAGTTGAGCTTACCTGCCAGCACTCCCTCCGCCGTCCATGCCCGTCCCTCTCCCCCACAGCGGTCCTCCCCCGCCCAGCGCCCCTCGCCCTCCTTCGGGGGTGATATAGGAGTGGGCGGGCTCAGGGGGCCTTCCGCCGTCCCTCCCTCCGCTCCGCCCCGGTGCAAGCTGCCTCGGCGCCACCCGGACCTCTCCTCCCGCCTCGCCGCCGTGCTGCAAAACATCAACCCGCCGCGCCCTGCGCCCTCCCCCTGGCGAACCCCCTCCAGCTTGCCCAATCCGGGCCTTCATTCTGCTGCTACGCCCGCAGGTCCCACTGCCACTGCGTCTACCGCTGCAGCTCGGTCGTTCCCCTTGTTGGGATGCTCTGCAGCACCAGCAACACCCATTCCACCAGCACCAGCAACAGCAGCAGCAGCAGCAGCAACAGCGATTGCGACAGACACACCAGCAACAGCGCCAGAAACAGCAGCAGCAGCAGCAGCAGCAGCAGCAGCAGTGGCGGTAGCAGTAGCTTCTACAGTGTCTTGCATACAGGCGTTTGAGAGTAGGCTCGTGGTTGGAGGCAGTCGGGGAGACGCGAGGTCTTTCATGGGCTCTACACTGCCCCCCTCTGCTGTCCACACCAGCTACGCTGCTGCTTCTAGATATGACCAGCGAGTGCAGAGGCCAGCAACCTTTTCAGACAACACTGCACTTCGCAAAATCCGCGTCTGTGAGGTATACAGCGATCCACTGAGCACTGATCCGGACGGTGAAGAGATTTGTGCCCTTAGTGCAACAAGCAGGGCGTTGGTTGCCGCCCCAAACATTCCTGAATTCGGCCCCGAGAGGCCCCTGCGAGTGGATGTGTCAGGCATGCTGCCACGGCCCATGTGTGGCGCGAAAGAGGGCATGCTGAAGCAGCAGCTCTTGGCTCTTGCTGAAGCCATGGCTGTTGATGACTCGGTACGTGGGGCTCGTGGGGGATGGCATGGCTCGTGTCACGTGGGGGGTGGGGTGAATAATCAATAACCCGGCATGGCTTGTGTCACGTGGGGGGTGGGGTGAATAATCACTAACCAGGCATGGCTCGTGTTCCTTGGCTCCTCCTGATGCATTGTTGAGCAAGAGCTGCAGTGCACTGCATTGTTGAGCAAGAGCTGCAGGAGGAGCCAAGGAACACAAGCCATGCCAATGAACACAAGCCATGCCAAGGAACACAAGCCATGCCAATGAACACAAGCCATGCCAAGGAACACAAGCCATGCCAATGAACACAAGCCATGCCAAGGAACACAAGCCATGCCAAGGAACACAAGCCATGCCAAGGAACACAAGCCATGCCAAGGAACACAAGCCATGCCAAGGAACACAAGCCATGCCAAGGAACACAAGCCATGCCAAGGAACACAAGCCATGCCAAGGAGCACAAGCCATGCCAAGGAGCACAAGCCATGCCAAGGAACACAAGCCATGCCAAGGAACACAAGCCATGCCAAGGAGCTGCAGCGCACTACTTCAACTCTTGTTCTCTGCCTTACTCCTTCCCGTCCCCCTCCTCATTTCATCCTCTCCCCCACCTCACTTCCTCCACAGCCTATCCCTCGCCATGCACGCTCGTGAGCTGCAACCTAACGGACGTGTAGGAGGTGTCGTCGTACCTGAAGAAGGTTGGCTACAGCCCCGACAATATTCCCTTCGTGCCCATCTCCGGTTTCGATGGTGACAACATGATTGAGCTCACTCACACACCTCTCCGCTTCCCCCACTTCCCCCTCGTTCCTCTTTCTCCCCCTCTCGGCCTCCCCCCTGTCTCTCCTGCCTCCCACCACAACCCCACCAGGTGCGGTGGCGGCAGTTCATGCGGCAGGTGCGGAGGGAGGCGGCAGCGGGGGGGGACACGCTGCAGCGCATCGCCTTCCACTCGCTGGAGGCGCTAGAGGCGCGCATGGATGGCACCGCACTCACTCGCTGGCGCTCCCCCTTGAACATCACCCTTCAGGTACTTTCCCTCCTGTCTCCTCACCTTCCCCCATCCCCACCTACCTCCCTCCCCTCTTCCCTCCCTCTCCCCCTTCGCCCCTCTCCTTTTTCCCCACATCCCCACCTCCCCACCTCCCCTCCTCCCCCCTTTCCTCCCCCCTTTCCTCCCTCCCCACATCACAACATGTACTTAGTTTTTGTTTCTTTTGGCACGTCCCCTTTCCTGTCAGGCACTGTGTGTGCTGATTTACAGTGTTTCGTGCATGCTATATGTCCCATCAATTTCACTCATGCCATGCATCCCATTTATGCCATGCATCCCATTTATGCCATGCATCCCATTTAAGCCATGCATCCCATTTGTGCCATGCGTCCCATTTATGCCATGCATCCCATTTATGCCGTGCATCCCATTTATGCCGTGCATCCCATTTATGTCATGCATCCTATGCATGCCACGTGTCCCATGTGAGCAGGATTCGGTGGCAGTGTTGGGCCACGGCGGCGAGCATGGAGTGCCGGCATTCATGCACCTCGCCAACATTGCAGCCGTGCACGAAATAGTCCGCGCATTCACCCACCAATCATGCGCACACACACACCCAAATAGTCCACACCCCCATACTCCTCCCCTCCCCCTGGCGGCCTCTTTCCCTGCCTCTGCCTCTGTCGGCCACTCCGTGCGGCGGCGGCGGCTGCACATCATAGCCATTGGACTTTACGCCGGGCCGCACTGGATCGAGATCTTCATGCGCCTCGCTGCCCACTTCTCCTCAACTGGGGGAGGTGCGGCCACAGATGCACCTGTGCCAGGCAGCAATAGCTTTACCAGCAGCAGCAGCAGTGGTAGCACGCACCCCACAACCCCCCCCACACCTCTTTCACATGCTACTCCCCCCTTCCGGCCCACGGCCCATGTGAAAATCACAGCTGTTGATTTTGGGTTCGTCAGTCTGGAGGAGTATCCCACAGGCCTGGTGCATCTGGGGGGGCAGTACCTGGAGCAGGTGGCATCTATGCTCGGCCTTTCCCTGTCGTTTCAAGGCATGGAAACCACCCCACACGACTTCCACCCGTCGCAAGTGGAGGTGGATGAAGGGGAGGAGGTGATAGTGCTGGCCAATTGGGGCCTCATGGTCTTTCCAGACGACACAGTGCTTCGCTCCAATCCCCGTAACGCAATTCTCAAGTGGATTCGCGACCTGCGCCCGCTGCTGCTCCTCCAGGTAGACGCTGATCTAGATGCCAACGGGCCCTTCTTCCTCGCGCGCTTCCACGCCGCGTTCGCCAACTTTGCGGCGCTCATCGAGTCCTTTGATGCCTCTATGCCGCACGCCGCCACGCAGCGCTTCGTAGCAGAGTCCATCCTCGCGCGGGACTTTATAAACGAGGTGGCATGCGAGGGCATGAACAGATGGCTGCGGGCGGAGCGGCTCGAGATGTGGGTGCATCGGATGAAAGCAGTGGGGCTGGAACCCGTACCTTTAGGGCCGGACACAGTGGTGGCTGGGAGGGAGGCCACGGAGGGGAGGGACAAGAGGTTCCGGCTGGAAGTGCATGGTGAGAGCGGCGCCCTGCAGCTCAGCTGGCGCGGCGTGCCCTTGATCTTCGTGGCCGCCTGGCGATGAGCCTGGAGTCGGGCTCACAAGCTGCAGCGCCTCGATGATTGTTGTGGCCGCCTGGCCCCAATGATCGTTCTCACCCGCAACTTGGCAGTGCAATGGCAAGGGCGGCATAGCCAAGCTCAGGAAGACAGGTCTTATCAAAGCAGGGTAGGTTCAGGCCAGTTCATGTCCCTGTTAACCTCCACACCCCTGCATGTCAACCTTCTTGCCCTATTTTTGCACATGTTTCTTTTGCTTAACGTTTTGCATTTGCTTGTGCGTGTCCATCGTGCCTCCATTGCTCCCTTTCCTTTTTCTTTGTAGGAACCTCCACTTGAGTGTGCTAAGACTAATCTTGCACGTATGCCATCGTAACTGTTGCTGCAGGTTTCATAGTCTGTGCTGCATGCAAGCCATCCCATGTCGAGCTGTATGATAAGCACGCAGCGATCCATCCCTCCAGCGACTTGGAAAACTCTTTAATGATGTCCTGGAACGACGTTGACCAAACATTCGACGCCGTCCCACGAATGTCAAATGGACAAGCATTTTTTTGAAGTGCTAACACCTGGTCTAGGAAGGAGGAATTGAAGTGGGAGAGAGACTGATGATTTCCTACATTTGCTGCTTCATCAGGAATGGTGTACCGTAACGTGCGTAACGAAGAAGCGTCCTTGATGGCGAATTGACACAAGGGATTCGACACCTCGGGAACTCACACCTCCAGAATTCACACCTCGGGAATTCACAAGTCGGCAATTCACACCTCGGGAACTCACACCTCGGGAATTCACTTCGTACGAGACGCAACATAAACTGCAGCTTTTCTGGACCCAATTCCTCTTCTCCACTCCATCCGCAGCTTTTTTTGGCAGGCTTCCTCGCTCCACGACTGATCACGTAGACGTAGCTTGGTTCTTTGACCTGGCGATCTTCCAAGATCCGACCACAATCACAGTTTCCGTCACGTAGACATGAGCGGCGAGCCAGTCACGGTCTTCGTCGCTGATGACCTGGCGCCAGCGGACGTTGAGCATTGGTTGTCGTTCGACGAAGCCGTTCTGCCTCCTTCGCCTTCCACTGACAACCCTCTCTTGCAGACACAAGATCTCCCGGAGTTGCCGTTTACTACATTAGATCCGTCACTCGCTTTCCTGATAGGCGATGATGCTCCTACAGGTGATGTGTACATAAGAGACAATAACACAGACTATGTTCCCATACGCGACGCTCCCGTTAACCAAGTCGAAGTTAGTCCAGAATGGCGATTGGATGAGTTACCTGGCGAGGAATCGGAGAAAGGGACTCCACTTGATTTCGATGGCGGAGTTCCCGAACGACGAACAGACGCAGGCGAGGCGTGTACGAAGGGATCCGGTGAAGCAGGTGCGATTACATCAGTCTTCGCGGATTTTATCGATACGCGGGACTCAAGCGGAGTTAGCCATAGCCGTGACTCTACCACGCCCGAAGACGGCCGAGTAGAAAGGGTTGAGTTGTTACAATCGGGGACGTGGTATGTTCCGGGGGCGGGAAACGTTTTTGCGGTCAGCAATTTGGCAGCCAGCAATCTCGCGGCCAACAATCTTGCAGCCAGTGATCTAGACACGTGCCTGCCAGAGCAGGCTGGTCCGTCCACGTGGCTTCCTAATTTACCTCGGGATGCGGAGGGGGGATCAGAACAAGGTTTCCCTGCCACATCAGCATCCGATCTGCGTGCATTGCAGCCTGACTGTTCCGGTCCGCACGTGTTGACCTTCGAAGATGCTTCGGAGAGGCTGTTCACAGCGACAGCGCCAGCGACTTTTCAGGGCGCGACGGGCAGCTGGGAGCAAGCGCAGAGGGCGCAGCTGTTGTTGCCAGAGCAGGAGGAAGCGCAGAATCAGCTGTTGACGCCTCAGCAGCAGACGCAGCAACAGCCCCAGCACCAAGGGCGAAATTACGATCCAGGAGGACAGCAGCAGCAGCAGCAGCAGCAGCAGGAAGCCCTCCAGTTAAACATACCCGCCAGCACACGCCCTCTCCCCTCCGCCATCCATGCCCGTCCCTCTTCCCCCCAACACTCCCCCCCCGCCCAGCGCCCCTCGCCCTCCCTCGGCCGTGACATAGGGGTGGGAGGGCTCAGGGGGCCTTCCGCCGAACCTCCCTCCGCTCCGCCCCCGTGCAAGCTGCCTCGGCGCCCACCGGACCTCTCCTCCCGTCTCGCCGCCGTGCTGCAAAACATCAACCCGCCTCACTCTGCGCCCTCCCCGTGGCAACCCGTTCCCCACTCGACCGAGCCGGGCCTTCCTTCCCCTGCCACGCCCGCAGCTCCCGCTGTCACTGCGTCTACCACTGCAGCTCGGCCGTTCCCCATGCCAGGATCATCCTCAGCAGTAGCTGCACCTGCAACAGCACCATCAACAACAACAGCAGCAGCAGCAACAGCAGCAGCAGTGGCAGCAGCAGCAGTAGCGGTAGCAGTAGCTTCCGCGGTGTCTTGTATAAAGGCGCCTGAGAGCAGTCTCGTGGTTGGAGGCAGTCGGGGAGACGCGAGTGGTTTCATGGGCTCAACACTGCCCTCCTCTGCTGCTCGCACCAGCAACGCTGGTGCTTATAGATGTGCCCAGGGAGTGCGGCTAGCATCCTTTTCGAGCAACAATGCACTCAGGAGAATTCGCCTCAGTGAGGCACGCATTAACCCACGGAGCCTTGCCCCTGGGAGTGCAGCGCAGAGCGTAGCAAGCAGGGCGTCCCTCCCCGTTCCCCACGTTGCTCCATTCGGCCCCGAGAGGCCCCTGCGAGTGGATGTGTCAGGCATGCTGCCACGGCCCATGTGTGGCGCGAGGGAGGGCATGCTGAAGCAGCAGCTCATGGCTCTCGCTGAAGCCATGGCCGTTGGTGACTCGGTGCGTTGGGTGGGGCTCGTGTCAAGTGGGGCTCGTGTCAAGTGGCATGGCTTGTGCTCGTTGGCTCCTGCTGATGCATTGTTGAGCAAGAGCTGCAGCACACTACTCACAGTGTTGTTCTCTGCGTTACTTCTCCCTTCCGCCCCCACCAGGTGCGGTGGCGGCAGTTCATGCGGCAGGTGCGGAGGGAGGCGGCAGCGGGGGGGGATACATTGCAGCGCATCGCCTTCCATGCCGTGGAGGCGCTGCAGGCGCGCATGGATGGCACCGCGCTCACCCGCTGGTGCACCCCCTTGAATATCACCCTTCAGGTACGTACCTTCCCCGTTCCCCACCTTCCGCACTCCCCGCCCTCCCCCCTCCCCACGTTCGCCCCTTCCGCACACACAGAAACACACAACACGTGCTCAGTGTATTTTTCTTCAGGCACGTTCCGTTTCCAGTCCGGCACTGTATGTGCTAAGCTCACTGTATTCCGTGCTTGCCACGTGTCCCAGGCATCCCATTCGTGCCTGCATCCCATTCATCTCATGCACCCCATGCATGCCACGTGTCCCATGTGAGCAGGATTCAATGGCAGTGTTGGGCCATGGCAACGAGCATGGAGTGCCGGCATTCATGCACCTCGCCAACATTGCAGAAATGCACGAAATTGTTCGTGCATTCACCCACCAACCACATGCACACCCACACCAGCATGCACAGGCACACGCACAGAGCCGGCCCACCCACAGACATGCTCCCCAGTCCCCTGCCAGCCACCCACACTCTCCACACGCCCCTTCTCCTCCCCCCCAGCCGGCCTCTTTCCCTGCCTCTGCCTCAGCCTCAACCTTTGCAAGCCAGTCGGTGCGGCGGCGGCGGCTGCACATCATAGCCATTGGACTCTACTGCGGGCCGCACTGGATCCAAATTTTCATGCGCCTTGCTGCCCACTTCTCCTCCCCGCCTCTCCTCCCGGCCGCCGCCACCACAGCCAATGGGCATCCACCAAGTGGCATCCCAGGTGGGGGACCAGGGGCAGTACCGAATGCAGCTGGTGGGGGCGTGAGCGGTGTTCAGGGCAGAACAGGGGCGTTTGGGGCAGGTATACCTGGGGGAGGTGCGGCCGCAGATGCACCTGTGACAGGCAGCAAGAGCTTTACCAGCAGCGGCAGCACAAGCGGCAGCAGTGGGAGCACGCACCCCACCACTCTTCCTACACCTCCCCCGCCCCGCTCCACAGCGCATGTGAAAATCACAGCCGTTGATTTCGGGATCATCAAAGTGGAGGAGCATCCAACGGGCCTGGTGCATCTGGGGGGGCAGTATCTGGAGAAAGTGGCATCTATGCTCGGCCTCTCCCTGTCGTTCCATGGCATAGAAACCAACCCACTTGACTTCCACCCGTCGCAAGTGGAGGTGGATGAAGGGGAGGAGGTGGTAGTGCTGGCCAATTGGGGCCTCATGGTCTTTCCAGACGACTCTGTCCTTCGCTCCAATCCCCGCAATGCCATCCTCAAGTGGATCCGCGACCTGCGCCCTCTGCTCCTCCTCCAGGTCGACATTGATTTGGATGCCAACGGCCCTTTCTTCCTCTCGCGCTTCCACGCCGCCTTTGCCAACTTTGCCGCGTTCATCGAGTCCTTTGATGCTTCCATGCCGCACTCTGCCTCGTCACGCTTTGCAGCGGAAACCATTCTGGCGCGGGATTTGATGAACGGGGTCGCATGTGAGGGCATGAACAGGTGGCTTCGGTCAGAGCGGCTCGAGAAATGGGTGCATCGGATGAGAACAGTGGGGCTGGAACCCGTACCTTTAGGGCCGGACACAGTGGCGGCTGGGAGGGAGATTACAGAGGGGAGAGACAAGAGGTTCCGGTTAGAAGTGCATGGTGAGACGGGCGCCCTGCAGCTCAGCTGGCGCGGCGTCCCGATGATCTTCGTCGCCGCCTGGAGATGAGGTTTGAGATGATCGTAAGAGCTGTGGCGTCTGGATAATCTTTATGGCCACCTGGCGATGAGCTTTGAGGCAGCCTCAAGAGTTGTGGCGTTCCGATGATCTTTGTGGCCACTTCGAGACGAGCCCGGGATTGATTCCAATGTCGCTCTAATCGGCAGTTTGGCGGGGCAAGTGCGAAGACACCATAGCAAAGAAGACTGTTCTAATAAAGCCAGGGTATGTTTCAGGTGTGTGATGTCCCTGTTGAAGCTGTGCATTTCACCCATCTTGCCCTGTGTTGCATATGTTTCTTGTGTTAAATGCTTTGCATTCGCTTCTGCCTATCCATCTTTCCTCCTTCCTGACTTTTTTTTTTCTGGAAACCCCTACTTGCTTACGCCCTTCTATTTGTTGCTGCAGGTTTCCATCATCTTTGTCATCATCCCACGACAGAGTCGTACGACAAGTAAATCATTTGCCATCCTGCCAGCAATCTCTCATTCAGGTTGACCAAACATGCGATGCACTCCCTCCCAACCCAGCTATGACAAATTTGGTCTGACATGCTGGACAACCATTTGTGTGTAGTGCAAAATCCTGGTCGAGGTCTAAGTGATAAGAAAAATAAAATATTTCCTGAGCTTGAAGCATTTTCAGGTTTATTATCTCCTATCTCCACACAGGTATTGGTTGAAAGGGGAATGTATCACCAAATGATACATTATGACACAAACTATGTGCCAAACGAAGAAAATGTTTTTGCGGGGTACTGACACCAACTTCGTTTGACCCGCCAGCGTTTCGGCGAGAATGCTTGGACCTCCCCTCGCGCACGTTACAGACTTCGCGAACGTCACATCATACCTTGATCACCCAACGAACCCCACCATTGTGGGAGATCTGGTTCTCTGGTGTATCTCGGATGTTACAGCTGTTCGGGTACGGTAACGCTGGGTCCCAGTCGGTTTCACGAACTAATCACAACCATTCCCTCAATCATCTTCCCTCCCCTCGCCTTTCAGTTTTCACCCATCATGGCGCCCAAAGCTGATCATGATGATGACGGTGAGGTGAGAGATGAGGGGATCAGAATCTACACATTCCTAAACTGAGCAGTTTTTACCTGTTCTTCCCTAGCGTGCCAACCGAGCTTCTTCCGTTACTCACGACGCTCCGCTGACATCATCGCTTATTGATCCGTCCGTTAGGACCAACGGAGCTGATTAACCTTTTAGACCTGTGTCGTTGCTCGTAACCGCCTCATCCGATCTCAGGCGACGCATTCCGTCGTTCTTCTGCTGGTCCTGATATAACCGCGGATCGTTAACTCTGCCGACGATCGCGTTCCGTGAATATTTCGTTCAGAGGATCAGAGCCTAGATTCGACTCTTGGAGTCGCCACTCAGCACGGATGGGTCGAAAGAAGAACCAGAAGGGCCGTCAACAGACCACCGCTGCTGCTGTAGCGGTGGCTCCTAACCCAACCGTCAGCTCCGCAGCTCCCCCCGCGCCTTCCGCCAGCGATCCTCCCGCCAAGGCCACCGCAGCGGATCCGCCATCCGCGCTACCGGCCGCAGGCGCGCCGTCCGGGGAAGATCTCCCGACGATCAACGTGACCTCGCCTTTCCGCGCCACCGCGAGTCGCGACTCGAGCGACTCTCACGACGCCGACGTCTTCGTCGAGCCGCCGGAGCACTTCAGCGACGGCTCGCGAACTCCGCACGATGGTAACCGCACTCCCACCTTCGAGGACGCTTCCGGCAGATTCCCTCTCGAGTCACCGATGGCGAACGGTAGCAGCGGCGGAAGCGGCGGGTTCGGCGCGCAAGTGGAGGCGGAGAAGCTGCGGAAGCAGCTGGAGGAGATGGCGCAGCGCTGCCGGGAGTTGGAGGAGGGGAAGCGCGGATCGGAGGTCGCGCGGAAGAGCGTTCAGCAGGCGAAGAACGCGCTAGAAAAGGACCTGGCGGCGGCCGCGGAGAAGACGTCGAAGGCGGAAGAGGCGGAGGCTGCGGGGAAGGCGGAACGCGCGCGCCTGGAGGGGCTGGTGACGGCGGCGGAGGGGGAAGTCGCGCGGCTGAAGGGGGAAGTAGCGGGGAAAGAAGCGGAGGTGGGGAAGTTGCTGGGAGAGATGGATCTATCGAAGAAAGAGGCAGAGGCGTTGAGAGGCGAGATGAGTGAACAGGTCAGGGCTCATGAGGAGTTGGTGCGGGCGCTGAAGCAAGAGTCGGAGGCCCTGGTGGCAGCGCGAGACGCGGCGATCAAGGAATGCGCGGAGGCCAAGGAGAAATGCGCCGACCTGTTGAAGTGAGCGCGAGCTAGGGGTTAATTGACGGATCTCTGCAGATGATCGCGGGGTTCAGGGGTTTGCCATGTCACGCGCAACATCGTTTCAACCTGTAAGGTGCCTGCTTCTTGTTTTGCGCAATCGTCACGCGTTCCTCTCTCGTGCTTCTCCCTCTTCCCCTCTTTCCCCCGCTTTCACCTCCTCCCGCCTTTCTCCAGGGTTTCAGCTGAGGCGGCGGCCAGAATGGACGAGCTTTCCCGCTCCTTGCAGGCGTTGGAGCAAGACAAGCAGGGCTGGGCGGCAGACAGCGAAAAATGGGCGGCAGAGAAGTGCAGCTGGGAGGAGGAACGGGCAAGCTGGGCGGCAGAGAAGCGGAGCTGGGCGGCAGAGCGGGAGACGTGGGCGGCAGAGAAGGCATCTAAGGAAAAGGCGATTGGTGAATGGGACGAAGGGCGGAGAGAGCTGGAGCAGCGGTTGGAGGCACTCGGTGCTCAGCTGGCCGCGGCTGAGGCTGCAAGAATGGAGGCAGAAGTGGCGAGAGGAACGGCAGAAGCGGCAAAAGCAGAGGCGGAAAGGGCGAGAGCGGCGGCAGAAGCGGCAAGGGCGGATGTAGAGAAGACGCTGGAGGGGAAGAGGGGCGAGTCGGACCAGGCCACCAGGTAGGGCGAGCCGGACCAGGCCACCAGGTAGGGCGAGCCGGACCAGGCCACCAGGTAGGGCGAGCCGGACCAGGCCACCAGGTACGGCTGTCGTATTCTTGCTGTGCTGCTGTGCAGTGCGGTGTGTGCAACCTGCTGTCCCATTGCGTGCGTGTGCATTGCCTGACCCATCTCTCTTCTCCCCCCCCCATACACCCCCCTTATTGTTCCCTCTTTGAGCGTCAGAGTCGCAGCCATGGCAGCGGCCCGCCTGGCGGAGGTGCAGCAGAGCCGCACCTCGCCCTCGTGTGCCCCCCCCCAAACTTCTCCGTATCATCTGCTGAAACGCACCCCTTTTCTGCCCTACTCCCCACCTGCTCTCCCCCCGCCCCTCCCCACCTCCCAATGTGTCTGTGTGCCTCTCCGCTTGTGCCTCAGTGTGGCAGCCAAGGCAGCGGCCCACCTGGCGGAGGTGCAGCAGAGTGTCACCGTCGTGTGCACCCCCCTCCCTCATTGCATTGCCCTGTCTTCCTGCTGCCGTCCCCGTCTCCCTGTGTTTGTGCGCTCTCAGGGTGGCGGCCAAGGCAGCAGCGCACCTGGCGGAGCTGCAGCAGAGCCTCACGCAGACGCAGGTGGAGCTGGTGCAGGCGCACTCCGCGCTACAAGACAAGGACGCCCAGTTGACGGGCAAGGACGAGCAGGTGCAGGCTCTGACAGACCAGATAAAGGCGCTGGAACAGCGCGTGAAGGGTGCGGAAGAGGAGAAGAATACACACGCGGAGGAGGCGAGGAGGAAGGAGGAGGAGGCAAGGGAGGCGAGGCGAGAGGTTGAAGCTGTGAAAGGGGAGCTGCAGGGGGGGTTGAAGGCTGCAGCGCAGCAGCTTGCCCAGGCGAAGAAGGAGGCGGGTGCGGGTGGGGAGAGTGGGGAGAGTGCAGGGAGCAGGGTGGGGGAGCTGGAGGCGAGGGTGGAGGCTCTGCTGGGGGAGGTGGCATCTGCGGTGCAGGCGCGGGCGGAGGTGGAGGGGAAGCTGGCGAGTGGCAGCCGGGAGAACGCCAGGCTGGCAGAGTGAGTGGGCTGCTCTGTGTGCTGTGCGCTGTGCGCTGCTCTGTGTGCTTTACTGTTAAGCTGCCTAGCAAGATATTTTTTTTCGTAACGTGCCACCCTTTCTCTCCCACACCCTACCCATTCCACCACCCACCACCCAAATCTCTGCTGCCGTACCAACCCCCTCTGTCCCTTCCTCTCCCACACCTACCCGTTCCACCAAACACCACCCCACGCAGGTTGGCGGCAACCAAGGAAGCAGAGGCCAAGACCATGTTTCTCCAGCTGGGGCAGGTGAAGCGGGATAACGCCTCCCTCATACCTCCTCTTATCACCTTCCCAATGCCCCACTTCCCTCACAGGCTGGCAGCAACCAAGGAGGCAGAGGCAAAGAGGGGCAGGTGAAGCAGGATAACGCCCCACTCGCCCTTCCTCTCAACCCACTCCCACCTCCCTTCTTCCCTTCCCCCCACCACCCCCTCACAGGCTGGCGGCAACCAAGGAAGCAGAGGCCAAGACCATGTTTCTCCAGCTGGGGCAGGTGAAGCGGGATAACGCCTCCCTCAGTAGCGACCTGGCAGCCGCTACAGACAAGATCCAGGAGCTAGTGGCCAAGAACCGGCGCATGGACAAGGACGTGGTAACCGCCGCGGCCGAGGCGGCGTTACGCGAGCAGGAGGGGGGAGGTGGGATTGGGGGAGGGTGGAGCTCTGTGACCCTGGTGACTGTGGGTGTGGGGGCGGCGGCTGTGGGGGGGTTTGCCGTACTACGACTCATGGGACCTCGTCCATGAGTCTGGGGAGAGTGTGAGAGGAGGGAGGTTGGGGAGGTGGGGGAGGTGGGAGTGGGGGAGGGTGGAGCTCTGTGACGCTGGTGACAGTGGGTGTGGGGGCGGCGGCTGTTGGGGGTTTTGCTGCCTTGCGACTCATGGGACCGCGTGTGTGGGAATCGGAAGTGCATGAGAGGGGGAAGGTGAGGGAGGTGGGGAACGTAGGGGAGGTGGGAATGGGGGAGGGTGGAGCTCTGTGGCAGTGGTGTCGATGGGTGTGGGGGCTGCGGCTGTGATGTGTTTGCTGCCTTGCGACTCATGGGACCTTGTGCGTGAGAGGGGAAGGATGGGTGGGAGAGTTAAGGTGCGTGAGAGGGAGCGTGTGAGAAGGGGGGGGTGAGTGAGAGGTAGAAGGTGAGAGTGGGAGGGGTGTGACTGACTGAACACTTGCTTCAGATGCGCATGAGAGCTGAGCCGTTCATTCTTCAATCTTTTTACCATACTACACAGAGGGGTTAGGACTAATGTCATCTGGTGCATGATTTTGTCAGTTTTGCCAGTGTCATTTCTTGATATTCCTTCGCCTGATTTTGCATGTTTTAACTAATCCATTCTTCTGAGTGAGACTTCTTAATGCCTTCCACTGTACGATTCATTCATTGTATAACACCCTGCTTCGACTTATCCCGTCTTATTCAGCAACACAATGTGATGTGCAGTGCATTACAACGTTAGCAGGCACCTGCAGCAGAAAAGCTACACCATCATCTACACTGTACAACTTACTCACCAAGTATACTACTTTACCTACACCTCTATAGCGACGCACTTGGTAACGGTCCAGTAATTCTCTGCCACGGGGCGGTAACCCTTGGCACAGGCACAGCGGTAACCCAGAGGGGAGAGGAAGTTGGGTTGGCAGATGCTGCTGGGAGGACACTTGGGGTTGGCTGGACACGGCTTGCGCACCAGCTTATTTGTCACTGTGTGTGTGGGGGGGGGTGTTGGGGTGGATGGTTTGGGACGAGAAAAGCGAGGAGATTGGGTGTGAGAAACAGCAGGCTGGATCTGGTAGGTAGACACTTCCTGCTGTTCCAGGGACACTTGGGGTTGGGGGGACAGGGCTTGCTCATGCGAGGTGAATGGGGAAGAGGAAGGGACGCTGTGAGTTGGGAGGCAGAACGGAGAGACAAGACCCCGATGGGGTGGGATTTACAGGGCATTGATGCAGAAAGGGCACTTGGCAGAGGAGACGAGGCCAGCACTTACGATTAATAGTGTGTGGCAGAGGGAACTTTGAAAGGGAACCGTCTTCAAAGGGAACTTCCTCTCGAAAGGGAAACATCCTCTCAAAAGGGGAACTTCCGCTCAAAAGGGGAACTTCCGCTCAAAAGGGAAACTTCCCCTCAATAGGGAAACTTCCTCTCAAAAAGGGGAACTTCGCTCAACACACAATCATCCCCTCCCACCGCTTCCTCAAGAGGGACCTTCCTCCCAAACCTCGCCCCCACACCTTTCACGCAGTACTGGTTGTCGGCCATGGCAGCAGCAGCACCCTTCTGGCACTGGCACTCAGCATCCACCACCGCGCTGTCGTTCTTGCGCAGACTGGCCGGCACACACGCCCCTTCAGCACTTACCCATCAACACTCAACCTCCAACGTTCTCCTCACCTTTCACGCAGTATTGGTTGTCAGCCGTGGCAGCAGCACCCTTCTGGCACTGGCATGCAGCATACACCACCGCGCTGTCGTTCTTTCGCAGGCTGGCCGGCACACACGCCCCCCGCCGCCCGCACGTGCCCAGGCGACTCGCCGCCCGGCAGAAGGTCCAGCAGGTGCTTGCGCTGCGCTGGGGCGGCTTCTTTCCACACGCCTTCTTGTCCCACCTGCGGTTAGAGCGGGGGTGAGGGGCGATGGGAGGGGCGATGGGGTAGGATGAGGGAGATGGGGTGGGAGGAGGGGGATGGAAAGCAGGTATGTGGCCTCACAGGCCCCAGCACTGCGCTGAGGTGACTTGTTGCCACACGCCTTCTTGTCCCACCTGGGTGTGGCAGGGTTGTGATGTGATGGGGGAATGCAGGCGATGGAGAGTGGAAAGTCGGAAGGCGCAGCAAGAGGTAGCAATGCACGCCGTGCAGCATGACTCCACCAATGAGCTCCCTCATGCGTCTCCAATGAACAGGAGCAGGAACAGAAACAGAAACAGGAACAGGAACAGGATCAGGAACGTGATCAGGATTCAGGAACCCACAGGAACAGGCCTGACACACGCACCACTTGAGGCGAAGGCAGTTGTTATCAACGTCGGACTCGGAAGGGCAGATGGAGGTGCCGTTCCTGGCCTTGTACGACACCTCGCCCACAAAGTAATTCGACGCCAGGCTGTGGTATGGCAGGGCCAGGTAGCGTGGAGGGATGGTGCCGCTGAGGTAGTTGGAGCGCACGTTGCTGTGTGGGTGGGGTGGGATGGGAGAGGATGCGGACGGGTGAAGAGGGATAAAGTGAGTTGGAGACCTCGCCCACGAAGTAGTTGATGACAGGCTGTGGTATGGCAGCACCAGGTAGGGTGGAGGGATGGTGCTGCTGAGATAGTTGGAGCGCACGTTGCTGTGGGTGAAGGGGGGGAGAGATGGATGGGGGAGGCGGTTGGGAGGTACGAGGCGTTTGAGTTGTGGGGAAAGAAGTGCAGTGCATGGTGATTACGTTTCAGTGTTGTTCATTGTGAACAAAGGGGGGGGTACGAGGGTTGTACACATTGCTCATGCATCAATCACATCACTCACACGGGGTGTCCTTTGTTCATTGTGCAGTGCCGATGCATGCACCACTCACATGTCAGCATGACTCACATGTCGGTGAGCAGCTTGAGGCGATCGATGTTGGGGAGAGTCCCGGACAGGTAGTTGCTCTCGAGGTTGCTGTGCCGCCATGCCACACACCACACAACACACACACGAGTTAGCAAGTTATTTCGGATTACCAAATCTGGCAGAGGGAGCAGAGGAAGCAGAGGGAGCAGAGGGAGCAGCGTTGCCACGTGTCTATTTGGCCTCACGGGTAAAATTGTTCCTCACTGCTCGACCCACCGGCGATGTGTTACCATGATGCTGAAACGCTCAGGATGCTCAGAATGATCCGAGACGTCTAACATCCCTGAAATATTCCGCACAAATGTGTTTTTTCTCACATGCTCTTTGCTGCTCTCTCTGGTTAGAGTTTTACTCGTATGCCCTCTCTCACGTGCTCTCTCACATGCTCTCCCCCTCACATGCTCTCCCTCACATGCTCTCTCCCTCACATGCTCTCCCCCTCACATGCTCTCCCCCTCACATGCTCTCCCCCTCACATGCTCTCCCCCTCACATGCTCTCCCCCTCACATGCTCTCCCCCTCACATGCTCTCCCCCTCACATGCTCTCCCCCTCACATGCTCTCCCCCTCACATGCTCTCCCCTCCATCTCCCCCTCACATGCTCTCCCCCTCACATGCTCTCCCCCTCACATTCTCTCCCCCTCACATGCTCTGGATGTTGGCCAGGCGGGTCAGCTGCTCTGGGATGCTTCCACTCAGCTTGTTGTAGTTCAGCGACCTGCCGTGGTGACGTGGCAATGGGCCGGTGACGTGGCATTGGGATGATGACGTGGCAACGGCCATGTGTGGAAAGGAACGGAAAGAGCCAGGAAAATGCTGGATGATCAATGGAATGCAACAGAAAGCGGTGTGCGTTGCAACGTTATGAAGACCAGTAAGTGGCACAGCAGAGCAACGTGGGGGATGTAGCATGAAGAGTGGATAGAAAACAATGCAGGAGAAGGAGGGAAGGTAGGGAGGGGGAAGGGATGGAGGCTGACAGGTAGGTGAGTTGGGAGAGGGATGCGAGGGCTGCGGGGATGGACCCTGTCAGCCAGTTGTAGCGCAGGCCCCTGCATGGGGGGGAGGGGGGTAGGGGGTAAGGGGGTACAGGGAGGAGGATTTGAGTGTGAGATTGGCATGGCTCAACGACTGGGGGAGCTGTGAATGTTGATAGTCTCTCGTTGGGTGGCGGATGTGTGTGTTTGACCCGTGGACCCCAGGTTGACCACGTTGATTCACAGGAACTGCAGGTTGACTCGCATTGACTGCATTGACTCGCAGATACTGCAGGTTGACTGGCGTTGACTCACAGGAACTGCAGGCTCTTGAGACGCGAGAGCTCCTTGGGAATTTTCCCCGAGAACATGTTGTTGCTCAGCCGGCTGGCACACATGGGAAAGGATTCATGGGAAGAGAGGGGGAGAGCTGGGGTAACGGAGTGAGAGGCCCGTGTGGAAAATATAATACTTTCTATCTCTCATGCATACAGGGGAAGGGAACAGCAGGTAGATTGGTGGGCATTCCGGTGCAAATGATGAGTGAATTGTGACTCGAATGACTGCCTGAATGCAGCATTCGGAAGGGAGGGCGAGGTGCAGAGGACAGGGAACCAGGGGACTCTCACAGGTAGGAGAGGGAGAGGAAGCTTCCGATGTATGCAGGGATGCTGCCCCCAAAGGCATTGTCGTTCATGTACCTGCAACAGAATGGGGACGGGACAGGAGTGGTAGAGTTGGCAGTGGGAGAAAATAAGGGGACTAAAAATTTGAGACTTGACTAGTTAGGGTTTGAAACTCCTAATATGATGGAATGTAGTGAAGAATCAGCGGCATCGTTACAGTCACATCCGCACAGCCACTCTTAATGTGACTGTCTCAGTCACACCCATGCGTTCCCACGCACACTCACATTGTCACACCGACAAACTCACACTCTAAGTCACAGTCAAAGTTTCCTCTCTCACACCAAGAAGGAGAAACTCACAGTTCCCGAAGGTTGGTGAGAGAGGAGAAGGAGGGGGGCAGTTTGCCACCCAGAGCATCTCCACCGTGCGACAACACTCTGCCGTGATTGGTGGACAGGGAAGGGGAAGGGGGGAAGGGGGGAAGGGAGGGAGGGAGGACATGGAGAGTGGTAGCAGCCCTAGGGAAACCCAAAAACGTTCCTGCTTTGAGTTTGGACCCTTGGGTTGACTGACTTAGGTTGACTTGGGTTAACTCGGGTTCACCTTGGTTGACCTGGGTTGACCTGGGTTGGTTGACTTGGTTTGACTCACAGCTTCTTGAGGTTCTTCAGGTTCCCAAAGCCTGGTGGGAGAGACCCGCTGAAGTCGTTGAACCCAAGGTCCCTGTAACGAGGATGGGGAGGCACGGAAAATAGAGGCGGTTGAGAGGGGTTGGGGATATTATACACGAACCAGTGAGCAAGGCAAGGCAGGGTAGGGCAAGGTAAGGACGAAGGGCAGGGCAGGTGAGGCAGAGGGGAGGAGGGGAGAGAAGCACAGCAGCAGACCAGGTTAGCAGGAGATTAATCACATCACCCGCTCCCATGCAATGCAACCAGGAGTTGGGCTTACAGGTGACTTTTGAGTCGACTCAAAAGTCACCTGAGAGCAGTTGGGCCTACAGGTGGGTAAGGGCGGTTAGGGCGGTGACCAAGGGTGGGATTGGAGTAGAAAGATAGTTCTGATTCAGGTTCCTGCCAGGGCGGGAGATGCAGAGGGATGGAGAGAGATGGAGAGAGATGGAGAGAGATGGAGAGATGCATAGAACCCGCCTGTAGGTGGAATAGGGCAGGAATTGTACCTAGGGGATTGTTCTACCGTTCTGGAGCCCCTTCTTGAGCTCTAGGGGACTTAGCAGGAAGGTTAGTCTAGGCTTCTTTGCATGTTAGTACTTTGCTGTTTTCCATTGCATGCTTGTACCCTCCTGGTTTATCGATATACGGACCATTAGAGAGAGATGGAGACAGATGCAGGGAGATGCAGAGATGGTCCAATCCTAAGTCAGGTGGGTTAGAGCAGCAGGAGCCTCAATTCGCATCCATGCAGAGCCTCAATTCGCATCCATGCAGAGCCTCAATTCGCATCCATGCAGAGCCTCAATTCGCATCCATGCAGAGCCTCAATTCGCATCCATGCAGAGCCTCAATTCGCATCCAGGCGAGCTGCCCAGCGTTCTGATTTGAGCAGCAGCACAGCACACATGCCAAACGCACAACACGGAACGAGGGCGCCTATAACGCGTACAAGGGAAGGGAGTGTGTGCCTCACAGGTGCTTGAGCAAGCCCAGGTTGCCGAGTGCGTTGGGTGCCTTTTCGATGTCCAATGCCTCTAGATTGCTGCAGCGCCATGGTGGGAGGGAGACGAGGAGGGGGGAGAAGGAAAGAAGAGGGATCTATGTTTGAAGCCGCCCCATGCATTGCTGAGTGCGTTGGGTTCCAGTTTCGATGGCTAGCGTTTGTAAATTGCTGCCGCGCCAGGGGAGACGAGGAGGGAAGAGGGGGAGGAAGAGGAAGCTTTGGTGTGGCACAGTGCCGAAAAGGATCGGGAGAGGAAGAATGCTACGATGGGGAAGAGGCATGCGGGTGTGACAGGTGAGCTGGAGTGGTGTGGCGTACTGCAATGCACGGGTGGTGGGGTCGGGTAAGGGATGCAGTGAGAGGGGAGAGGGGATGGGAGGGTAAAGGTGAACGTCCTGGTAGATGACTCTGAGAGGGTAAAGGAGGGGTGCGGCGAGAAGAGTCGCGGGGGTAAGTCAAGGGGTACTAAGAAGCAAGAAGTGCGTATTACAGGTAGACGAGGTTGGTGAGGGGCGCGAGGGGAGCCACGTCCTTGATGGGGTTCTGACTCATGTCGCTGGCATGAGGTGCGGAGTGGGGGGGATTGGGGGGGATTGGGGGGGATTGGGGGGGATTGCGGTGGATTGGGGGAATGGGGGAAGTTTGTGGATGGGGGGGAGGAGGGGTGGGGTGGATGGGAGGGATCGGGTAATGGGGGAGATTGGAGAGACGAACGGTATGGATGGTGGAGTCTTTCGGCGAAATTGCACCGCAGAGGGACAAGAAATGGCTTGCGATGATTGATCGTGGAGTGAGCATTGACTCGCGTTGACTCACAGCAAGGCGAGCGCGGTGAGGGCGCTGACTCCCTTGATCGTGCCGTTGATGTTGGTGTTGCTCACGTTCCTGCGCACACCAGCACGCACCAGCACGCACCAGCACGCACCGCCACACACCATCACGCACGCATGTGTTGCCACACGGTCATGCACAGCCACGAACAAACAGGACCTTCCGTAAGCTTGCATAGTTCCCGCCGTTGCTTTACGCTGCAATCCAACCATCCTTCTGATACTACACGCGCTCTAATCTGCGTTTCATGTCAGAGTACGTACAGTCCGATGATGATACCCTTGTCGTTGCAGATGATCCCGGGGTACGCCATGCAGCGCTTCGGCGGCTGCTTCGACGACCACGCGCGCGAGTAGTTGAACCCGCGGCCCCACTCCTTGGCCAGCGCTCGCAGCACCGCCACTGCGCGCACAAGCACGCGTAGACACAATCTTGAGCCGATTTCTGGGACGAATATTGAGACGAGTTTCTTCAGGCGTGCGTTACAAGCACGAGTAGGTGGTGGTAAGAACCGTAACAAACGGGTGGCAAGTGGGTGATAATCCCGTTACAAGCGTGTGGTGATTTTCTTCAAGACATCTCGTAATGAACTGAGGAGCTTCCAGCCGTATGGCAAGAACGGTGCGAGTTCTTGCGTGCGCTGCGAGTGCGTGAATACGCTGCGAGTGTGCAAAGCGCAAACCGGGAGGGGAATGGGTGCGCACATTGGGAGGAGTCGATGACGGTGTCGCGGTTGATGCCGGCTCGAACCACCGGCGGCGACAGCAGCGCCGCGGCCGCCACCCACGCGACCACGAGCACGAGCAGGCGTGGGGGGATACCGCACAGTGCCATGACGGAGTGACGCAATATGAAATTCGGGAATTTGAGTCGCGAAGGGAAGGCTTGCAGACTCCTATAGATATAGGTGTATAGACTCTTTTTGACGGCGGATCGGAGACCCTGTGTCCTTCAGTGTAGCGACTAACAGCGAAAGTGACTATAACACGAGCTCGAGACGGACAAGATTACGAGGCCAATAACTTGGAAGCATTGGGCGGGTGATGCTCTCGGGTCGCGCCTCGGAGAAACTGTGGGACGGGCAAGCTTCTAAGCGAGCAGCGCTTATCCGAGCAGACTAACGTTATTCAACGAAGCGCGTTTGACGCGTGTGAGGTAGCTTCTACACTCTTTGCAATGGCAGCAGATCGGAGCTGAGCAAACCGTCCCGCGTGCATTAGCTATTGAACCATTAGGCGCAAGATCGGGATATCTAACTTGCAAGGCTGCACTCCGCTGACGTGCTCTGAGAAGTGCGCTTCGACCGATAATATTTATCTGCTCACAAGGCACTTAGCATGACGGGCGAGAGATAAAACCTAACGAGGCTACCTCAAGAACGCCGCAAGCGCAGTGACGGCTACGAAAAAGCTCTGCTGGAGCGGGTCGTGCGTCGTTGACGGCGGACGTTGCGGCGAGCGAGAAAAGCGAACGGCTCGAGCCTTTTCTGTAAGCGGACACACGTACGAAGCATCGGCGAGGCTACGATGACTGCTATCGGGCGAGAAATGCCAGGCAAACTGATCTATGCTACTCTAGTTCGTGCTTGTTCCAGCAAGATAGCCGCACTCATGCTAATCCATGCAGCAAGAAACGCATCACCCTCCTCCTCTGCAAGAAGCTCCATCCCAGCTGCTGCTGCGGAGTGGAAAGCTGTGCTGAGTTGGTCGAAGTCTCAATCCAAATCAACGTTTTTCTCCCGCCACCGAGTCGCGAGTCGCCATGTGAAATTGAATGTGAGCGCGGTGAACGGATCGCGTCTGTTTTACCGCCAAGTCTGCTCCTTTGACCAAGTAGCACGATATGATGCCAAGGGGTGGGGGGGGAGTCGAAACTCGGGGACGACGCGGATTGGGGGAATTTCTCCAAGCCAGGAATGCCGCCGGCGCAGCTGGCGTTGACGGCTGCAGTTACGAATTTCAGTCGGGGAAAAGGCCATTGTAAGGGCGTGTGAGGTCTTTGAAATTTGTAAAAGTTTATGTTTTTAGGGCTAATTTTAGTTTAGAACTTACAACGAAAGAAGTTCGAATTTCCTTGTATCTAAGTTCGAACATCGGGCTTACCACACTGTAAAAAATCACACACACATACAAGGTCGAACCCCGACATTCGAACTTGTAAAAACGAGCCGAGCCGCACATCAACATCATAGGTTACCCGGTTCGAGAGTCTTGACAGTGCGCCACGTCAACATTTTGCGCCTCGGTTTACAAGGACCTAGAGCTCCAACTCACCTTCCGCGCCGAGCGTTTAACCAGGGTACAAATAGCCCCCGTGGCAACACCTTGTATACTCGTCATTCGCCCAACATGACACGTTGCCACATCGTGCTCGAACATGCCACGATGCTGGACACGTGGCTACCACTGTGTGCACGAATTGTGGGGTGACTTCGTTGTGCAACTTCATGCATTGGCGAAGCGCTCGCCCGTTTCGCCAGCTGTTCGGACGTGCTGCAAATCACACACGCTCGTATGAACGTGCGCACGCACGTTCCCGCCTCCGACTCGAGTCAAGTTCATATTTCAAACTCGAACTTTTGCAGAGCCCTACCAATGCTTGGTTCGCGAAGCACCCTTCGCGAAATTAGCGAAAAGGGTAACCACCCAAAGTTCGAACTTTATTTTGAACTTCTACAAAGACCTCACACGCCCTAAGGAATTTTCTCGGCATTCCTTACGGAGCCCGACTACATCTCGCACTGCTTCACCAAACCTCTCACTGCTGGCCTGGCCGTGTCGGCCTACGCTTCGGGACTAGCCCGAGCCTCGCTCCAGCGTAGCACTAGCTAGCTCGCACGCACCGCGTTACCGTTTGCATGTTTCGCATATAAATGTTCGCTCATGCCTTCGCTCACATTTTGTACTCGTTTTGACACCTTAGTGCAATTCTCGCTACTTCGATTCATTGCACCCGTAACAGCCATACACATTCATCAATTTAGGAAAACATTTATATCATACAATACATGCTAAACAATCCTGATCCTACTCACCTCCCTACAACTACATTCTCATCAAAATCATTATCTACATGAATCAAATCCGGTCTACTTGTGCCACTGTCCTTGGTCCTAACAGAACCTAGGTGTTGAAACAGGGAAGGCACGTGGACGTACCCCTTGATGCCTGACACATTCAGGTACTTGTTCACGAGAAGATCCATGTTTGTCTCCATCAAGTGCTCCTCCATGTACTGCAGCATACCTTCCAACGCAGTCACGTTGAAAAGGAGTGCCTGGGCACAGCATGGCACAGAATACTCATCCCCATGCTGGTGTCCCCAGTTGTATGACTGGGGGTTGTACAGCGATACCACTCCCCAGCTCTTATGGGTCAGATCCTCTTTCACAAACCTCTCAATCCCAACATCATACAGCTTGGCAGGCAGAGTATCGTCCTGCAGCAGCAGAACATACTTGGGTCGGGTGGCGAGGCATTGTCTCGCCACATAGATAAAATCCATGACCAGTTTGGTGCGCCATTTCCAGCTCTCCCACCCATCCTTCCCCACCATCTTATCCTCAACTCCCCCGCGCCTCAGATCCTCCTCCCCCTGCCCTATGAACCGGCACACGTCCTCATGCGCTCTCAGCACATCCACACGCATCGACAATCCCTCGGACGCTTGCTCTATCTCTCGTGTATAAACACCGACCATCTCGTTCGCCCTTTTTGTGTCTTCAACGACAAAATCAGCTTCCATATCCTCAACACTCTTAGCCGCTCCGATCCGCCTGAGCCTACCCATGCGCTGCCGTCTGTTGGCCGCAACAGCAGCTGGAACTAACGCCTTGCAGCCCGCGCTATACACCACCGCGTGCATTTTCCCCAGGCCGCCGCGCTGCTTCCCCCTATGCGCGGAATTCTGCCGGGAGTGGCGCTCGTCAAGCAGCTTCAGCAGCGCCACGGGGAAATGCCACGGGGGGAGCTCCTGGTGGGGGAACGCGCGCGGGGAGGAAGGGATCGCGACGCATATGCCGCCCCTGCCGCCGCCGTCGCCGCTCTGCGGATCTGTAATGCCATCCCAGTGGCCATCGCCGCTCCCACCGCTACTCAATGACGCAGGTGCATTTACCCCTGCATTTTGCGGAATGTTTCCGCTGCCTGCCTCTCCGCTGCTCCAGCGAAACCACGCTCCCACTGGGAACCAAGGATGAGCCGCATGGCGCGAAATCCCTCCGCCTCCCACTCGCGGTTCGAAAAAATCCGCGCTAACGTGTCGCCTGAGATGCGAGAGCGGCAAACCCGTTACTAGGCTTTCCGGCGAAGCTCTCTCAAGCAACGGTCGACGCATGAAGAAGCTAAGCGGGCCTCGGAGGCCAATTTCGAACGGCTTGAAGCGCGAAGATCCTCGAAGGATCGACTCGTGCGCGACGCTAACGGACGGCAGGGACGGTAAAGACCAGGCGTGAGCGAGCCACAAGGCGGGGAGCATGAGGAGGAAGATTGCGAGGGAGAGCAGCAGCAGGAACACCACGACCACGCGTCGCCAATGCAGCTTGCAACACGGCGAATGCGGCGCGTGCCGCGTCGGCCGTCTGCATGGCGCCGCCGTTCCAGATGCTTCGAGCGGGGCTTCCGCGCCGGCTTCCACGGCGGACGGCCGACGCGGAGGAGGATGCGGCGCCGCGTGATGTGGCTTGGCGCGCGGCTGCGGGGAGGAGGAGAGCGTGGGCGTGAGCGCGACGGCGACGTCGCGCGGAAGCCGCGGAGAGGCGCGACGGCAGGTGGAGCTCGAACCGGCGGCGGGTTTGCTCTCGGCGGGGGTTCGAGCGGGAGTCCTGGTGGAACGGTGGAGGGAAGCGAATGACGAACCCAGGTCTGGGAGGGGTATTGCGAGTAGCTTGGTCCCCCGACGCGTCGCGATGGATTTTTTGCCATCCATGTCTGGTTTGCTATCGATCGGACCTTGGGAAGATTGCGAAGGCGGTGAATCTGCCATACCAGGGACGAAAATGGGACAACGAGCTCCGTGCACGTGTTGAACTACTACTCTGTGATGGTAGTCTGGAGTGCGTGCTGTCTCTTTCTATGAGCAATGGGCATGAGAACGAGATGGTAGGACTATGGATCTCTTCGCATCTACAAGGGGCCATTCGACAAAAGGGACAACGGATCAGGCTTGGGTTCTATCGACCTGAGGTTACAGCAGCTGATGGGAGGGCCTGCGGTTGGCAAGAAAGGGTGGAGCTGAGGCACCTGTTCCTCTGGCCTGAGCTGGTATGATGCGAGAGAGGCATGGAGGAGAGAAAGACGACAGCTGGTAGTGTACAACCTCCACTTCTTGGGCATTGCTGGAGGGGCGCTTGCTTGTCGTGTGGAACGTCGGCGGTAAGGTGTCTTGGGTCTTGTCGGCCCCACTCTCTGTCCCTTCTGACGACCGATCTGGCGAGTTAAGCGAGTGTCGCATGTGGCACAACCCCCCTGCCAGCGAAGCTTGAGATTGCTGAAGCGATATGAGCGAAATTTTGTAAGCGGAGGCGAAGCCATGTACTGCAGTAACAGCTTCAACACTTCGAAAGCAGCACTAGACCAACCAAAGCAACCACATGGGGGAACAAAATCATGTCATAATGACATGGGCAAACAGCCTGACGTGGTGGTCTGTCGCATCCCACCCTCCAAAACATGCAGAACTTGAAAATCTCACTCAATTTTCGCCAGCCTTCGCTAAGCTCGTCCAGGGCAAGAACTCCCTGACGAGAACTTCACGAAATTGTTCACTCGATTCACGGGGTATGCTTGCTACACGACAGCGTTAGCCCAAGATGTGGAACATGATAAACGCCGCACATGGGGGACATTGGCAGCTTGGCGTTTGCCAGCTGGATTTCAGCGAGTCGAGATCATAAGCCAACAAGGAAAACGGTGATGTGAGGTACGGTGAGGATGGTGAGCACAAATAGCACAATGTAATAATGTAATATTGGTTCTAATACAACATATGGCTTCATCGCATCCACCTCGGTGACCTCATAATACAAATTTCAAGACTCCATGAAATTTAGTTTTTTCCCATAGTATTTCTTGATAAAATATCAAGATAGTGTTGTTTTTTCTCTGTGATTTGTTTATGCAGTTTTTTCCCATAGACCTTCACTATTCAATTGTTTACATGGAGTAAGAAGAATCATGAAAAAAAATCATTTCTGATTGAATGGACGTCTGGTCACATTCGGATAAGTTTATAAGAACTTTAACAGCTAAAAATGTTTCAAGATTAATATATGGGTTGTTCTTAGTGTGCATTTCATTTTTAGTTGTCGTGAATGAATATATTGGCTGGTGACGCAAACTGCTTCGCTATTACCTGCTTCACTTTGCGGCGCAGTGGACCCCGCTCCGCGCAGCACAATCCGCTTCGCCCGCCCCACGCGCTATTTGGGGTGATACTTTGCGGCGCTGTGCACTCCGCTCCGCGCTGCACTGTGCGCTTCGCCCCGCGCGCCATTTTCCGCGTGGTATTTGGGCCAAATCGCCGCAAGCAGATGCCCACACACCCCTACCATCACATGATGCTTCGCCACTGGTCCAAATTTCATCACCAATCAGCTCGCGAATATATTTTTGCTAGTGAGAATCTGTGAAACCAGCAGTACTCATTTTCGCGAAGTTCGCTGAACACGAAAGTCAAAGGTCCCCCATTTCGGCCCAGCCATTCCATGCTGAGACCCTATCTCCCACCCCATTCCTGCCTCAGCCGCTCCCTCCCAAAAAAAATCACTATTTCAAGGTTCACCGCGAATCACTAGTGCTCACCCGTGGTCCCTCCTAGAGTTCCCAAGCAGCCGCTTCTTTACCGCCAAATCAAACGGTCGCTGCTTGAAACCGTGTAGATTCCGTGTGGAGATTGTTCATCGCTTATGCTTCGCGGCTCGAAATCGTCTAGGTTCCGTGTGGAAAATTTTCATCGCCCATCCTTCCGCACTCTCAATTCGTAGTTAGCCACGAATATTTAGCAAGCAGGTCATCCTCTTTCCTGTACTCCTATCAATCTAGCTTCTACGACGTTATTACGGCTTTCTCGGTCAAGCCCTTCATCCTCTCTGGAACTCGCCTTCTGAGGGGGAGCTCAGTCGGTTCAAGCTGCAACCTGCTCGAGCACGGGATGTCTCAAGTGCATGAGATTCCGCCTGCTCGAACTCTTCACCAGCCCGCCGTGGACCTTTCCAGCTAAGTGTTCCTTCCACTGCTGTCGAAGTTTTATTTTCTATTTCCAGCTTTTTGTTCGTGCTGTTAAATTGTTTTCCAGCCAAAGCGTCGCCTGTAGAGCTCCCTGTCTCCTACCCTAGATCTGGTTTAGCCTCTTTAGTCGGTCTAGCGTCAGCGTCGCTAAGTCAAGCATAGCTGCGTCGGTCTGTCAGAGCTTTGCAGTGCGGTTGCTTTGGCTGGAAAACATTCCCCATTTCCCCACACACGACTTCACCGCTTTTGTCGTCTTTATGGCATCCCACTGTCACTTGAAACTGACTTTGTTGTTTTTTCTTCTAATGCATTCAGGTGTTCCTTCAATAATATGGGAGTAGCCAAGACCTTCTTCAACCGCGTTGAAGCAGCAAGGTGCTCAACAGTCAACATTCAAGTCGTGGAGCCAAATCTGCACAACGTCAACAGTTCAAGAAAAAGCTATGTATCACGCGCCCTTGTCTTCTCTTTCATTGTTTCCTGTTGGTAATGTTTCTGCTCTTTCAGCCATCATCATAACATTTTAGCCTTCCAGTGCATAATATGTATGCTTGAGTGCTTAACATTACCACCACTTGAGCCTTCCCTGGTATTTTTTTAAGGTACTCTTTTCTGGTGAGTCCTTCAGGTCCCTTAAGGTTTTTTTCTGGTATATGGCTCTTGTGGTTGTGGTGGTGAGCACCCTTGTATCCATACTACTGCATCTTCCACCCATCATGCATGCATACGCTTGCCTTTCTGGACCTTCTTCTGCCACCATTACTCATACACCCCCTTCCCGTTCCTTCACTCAATTTGCAGGTATCTCAACATTAAAGGCCTTCAATGTTCAAAGACTTTTGGAAGTCAATCATTTCAAGCCCCAAGACTGAAGGTTCTGAAGGTAAGGACTAGTCCACTTGACAGTTTTATTTTGTGGCACACTCACTAACATTCTGCTTTTCTTCCTGCAGGAGTTTCAACATGTCAACTGACACTTGCCACTGAAGATGGCCAAGAGTGAACTCCGAAGTTTCAAGCTTACCTCAAATGGTAACACTTTAACCTTCCACAGTGTTAATGTGTGCCACACTTACTGACATTCCGCTTTTCTTCCTGCAGGACTTCAACATGTCAACGGTGACTTCAACAAGATCTTCAAATGACAGCCATCACTGAAGATGCGTAACTCAGCAATCAAGATCTTCAAATGACAGCCATCACTGAAGAACTCAGCAATCAAGGTATGTCTTCATTATTTTAGCAGTTCAATTCAATGCTTACTGCATTCCTGCTCACTCTGGCTGAGGACTGATATCTCTTTTGTCGTTGTGCAGGTAACCTGAAGGCATGGGGAGGCAAAGCATGGTGCTGAGGGACCCTTGGGGTTGTCTAAAGACTCGGATCCGGGCCATGTAGCAGACTGATTCTGTCGTACAGAGCTGACTGCAGCAGCTCTGTATCGGCAGATTCAGTCTGTGAAAATGGGCTCCCGCATGCCTTGGGTTTAGTGACTCTGAGGGTGCCTTCAGCAGCCAATTGCCATGCCTCCTGCAGCCACTCTTTCCAGGCCAAGACAGTGTGAGTTGTTTTGGTTGCTTCAATTTAACTGCTTATACTTCTGCCTGGATACTAACGCTTTGTTTTGTTCTCTGCAGATATTCCAGACTAAGACTGTGTATCCATGTGAGTCGTTTTGGTTGCTTCAGTTTAACTGCTTATACCTCTGCCTGGATACTAATTCTTTCTTATGTTCTCTGCAGGTATCTTGTATTTCTACAACAGGCTTCAGGGCAAGTTGATGTTTTGTAGCATTTTGTATATACTGACACTTTAATGTAAACTTTTATGCATAGAATTTCGAAGCTGAAAGCAACTGTAAAACGATTCAAAAGTTGAATCAAGACTCCCATGCTAGCATGAACCTTGTTACTACTGCCAATGAACTGAACGATTTGACTAGCATGATCTGTTACGATTTTACAAGCTGAACCTCCAAACGAATAATGAGAGGTACCCGACATTGTACAACGGTATTCCATCGGGAAGGGTACAGCGTCCCCTCTGGCTCGATCGTGCAAAAACCGATCTTTGACCGCACCAAAAAAACCCGTGTATTGCATTCAAAACTTCTAGACGTTTTTTGAACCACGTGAAAAATCGACCCTACGTAGGATCGATCGCAGGATTGGCCTTCAGGTAACTTGTCCTCAAGGATTCTCGAAATCTCCGCGCTTCTCTGAACTCTCTCGGCTGAGGTCTTTCCCCGCTCCCAGATTTCCCTTACCGTACTGTACCGCCTTCCCCTTCCCCCCACGCCTGGCATTCCGTCCATTTATCATTGCACCCGTTGTTAGGACGCGTCACCTGAAGCGGATCATCGAAGATCGGCCGATCCGCACCGATTGCCATTTCGAGCCCAAGCTCGGTAGAGATCGGTGCCCATGACTGCGCAGCTTCGGCGCACCGATATTCAGGTTACAGGTTCGGTATGGCAGGTTACGGGGTTGTGGTAACCTGGCCTGCGACATCAGCAATGTTGTCGTGCGCAGAATCGCACAGGGAAAACCTAGGGTATGCGACGACGAGCGAAAACAATCAAAATTGACTGTCACTTGTGGCGCGAAATTCCACACCCCGCCACCCAATCTCACGCTCGATATTTTTACTTAGCTGTATCGATCAGGGCTCCCATAGGTGACAGGTTCGTGGGCACATTTTTACCGTACATTCGCGAGCATTCACGAGATCTAGTTACCTTGCCGATTACGACGCTACAGTGCTACACCCCATGCGCAAAACCGATCTTCCAGCCGATCGATCCGCTTCAGGTGACGCGTCCTTACATCAGCTTCTTGACAAGTCTTCTGCCATCCATACACCACCAGCGCTCGAGTTGAGACCGGACTAGCAGCATGCTTGTACGATGCCATTGGCTTACTTAGTCTGTGATTCAGGTTAGGTTTGGCATTAGTAAGGATCCGAGGCAGCCATGGTGTTCATGCGTAGCTCCGCAGAGGAGCTCTTCCGAACTCTTGCGCAGATTCCTCCCGCCGATGGCCACGGGAAGCCATCAGTTCCTCGCGTTTCAGAGACATCCGTCAACATTCACGATTTGCTTGTAAAAAAAGTGCTCGCATCGGGAGGCATTCGCGAATCGTCGTCGCGAACTGACGACATTGATAACGACGGCGACGCGTCTGCTAGCAAATGGCCATTCCGAAAGCCGGCGACAACATTTTCCGCATTCCTCGCTCCCCGCGAGTTGCGCCAGCTCGCAGCAGCCGTCGGCTCGCTCGCCGGTCCGGATCCTTCCAGCGGCCGCGCAGGCGGAGCATCTGGCGGAACCACCAGCGCGAAATCCCTTCGCAAGCACCATGATGCCTCCGCCTGTTCCGCGCATGTCTCCTCTCTCCCCGTGCTCAACCTCGCATTGGATTACCTGCAGGCTATTCCTGACCTGCTTCTAACCCACGCGGGTTCCCCCGCCTGCCGCGCAATGCTCGCTTGCTGTCGCTCCGGCGCTCTCCTCGCATTCCTGGCGGAGCTACGCCGCTGCGCTTCCGCAGACCCGTGCGTCTTCGGCTCCCCCGTGGGGAAGGCGACGGCGGAGCTTCTGCTGGGCCTAGCGCGCTCGCACGACACTTTCCTCGAAGCTTCCGCCAGCCCATCGAGTCGCGACGGCGCCAGTTCGGATTCCGCGCTCACAGGCGGAACAGCCGCGCGCGCGTCCTCCGCGGGAGCGGACGTGCAGGCGGTAGTGGGGGAGGTGGTTCTGGCGCTAGCGCGGCACTGCATCCCCGCGGGGCTCGCGGAAGCCGGCGGAACCGATTCGCCAGGAGGGGACACGGCGGGCGACAGTGGCATGAGCGGCGGAAGCGCCGTCCTCTCATTGGCGGAAGCATTGCAAGCTGTGTTCGACGTGTGGGTGAAGCCGCATGTGGGAGGGGGGAGCGGTGGCGCAGCGGGTTCCGCCACCATTCTGGGCAGAAGCAGCAGCAGTGGCGGAGGGGAAGGCGGGCTGGCGGGGGACGATTTGGATGGGCGCAGACCCTCCGCCTCGAGCGAGCAGCTGACGTCGCTGCTGACGTCAGGAGCCGGAGCAGTGGGGGACGCGGGGCATTTGCCTGGTGCGGAGGGGGCGGTGGAACTGGTGGGGGCGGTACCTGTGGGTCCGTGGCGGCTGCAGCTGCTGGCCGGCGCGTTCAGGGTAGCTGCAGCGGTGGTGGGAGGGGAGGACGATGGCGCACTGGCGGGGAAACGCGGAGGCGCAGCAGGAAGCGCGGGGGAGAAGGCTCTGGAGAACGTAGTTGGCCAATACGTCGCCGCCACGTCAGCTCTGCTGTCGAATTCGACAAAGCTTTTGCAGGTGAGCGGTTTGCTGCACGATGGGTGGTGGGTCGTTGCTTAGAGCCCGGTATACACTGGTTGCAGGAATAGAGACTGCTGTAAGATTGCACATTGCTCTAGTAGTCTAGAATGGCACGTTGCTTTGACTCCCATGCCACTGGGTGAGCCTCGTTCGAGAGGCTAATGCGCTCCCACCCCTGCGTCTGCTGCTACCTCTGCTGCGGCTGCCTGCCTGGCTGGATGATGCGGGGGCGTGGTGTGGTGTGATCATCGGCTGTGGGGACTTCTGCTGCGCTGCACTCCCCACCGCCTCTTGACTGCCTCTCGCCTGCATGAGTGCGCGGGGCCTGCACGGGTCCCTGTGGCTGCCATCTGCCTCTCCCCTCCTCTCCCTGCTGCTGCTACCTTGGCAGCCGCTCCTGTGGCCGCCTCCGGTGCTGCTCCTGCTGCTCGCATATGCTGCCAACACTGCTCCCACCGCCGCTGCCGCTGCAACACCGCCCCGTTCTGATTCCACACCTTCTCTTGCTGCCACTGCCACCGCCACTGCTGCTGCTGCCTCCACTGCTTCTACTGCTGCCGCAGCCGCCGCCGCCGCCGCCGCCACTGCTGCTGCTCCTCCGGGCTGCACCCCTCCGCGGTGCTCCTGGGTCTTCCCGACTCCGTCCATCACCGCACTGGCAACCCCACCCCGGCCGCACCTATCCTCCGCCACTGCTGCTGCTGCATGTGCCGTTGCTGCCGCTGCAGCTGCTGGTGGTAGAAGGGGCAGTGGCTGCGGCAGCGGTATCAGCAGTGGGAGTAGCAGTGTGTATCATCCACCGTATCCGTCCTCTGCTGCTGGGCTTGGGCTCGCTGCGTGCATATCCCCTCCTCACTCCCCTCCTGCGCCTACCTCCGTGCCTCCGACCTCTGCTGCTCCCTGGACTGAGGTTGTCCTGCTGCTGCTGTTGCCCTGCCCCGCTGCTTCTCCTGCCTCTTCTGCCTCTCTTTTCCTCCTAAATATTGTCTGTGGGGGATCGGGTACCTGAAACCTGCGGACATTGTTTGCTGCACGTCATATGGCAAAGGAAAAAACGACCCCGGGGGAGAGCACAGGGCAGCAACTGTTGCCTTGTGCAGTTCACATGCATGCAAGCGCATCCTCTCTCCCGTTCTCACATGATGTAGTTTTCCTATGTTCGCGTCTCTATCTTCCTCCCTCCTCCACTCTCTCCTGCCCATCCTTCTTTCTACATCTCCTCCCGTTCCCCCCTTTTTCTGTGCCCCCTCTTCCCCATTCTTCCCCTCTGCTCCCCCTCCCTCCCTCCCTCCACCACAACCCCACTTATTTGCACCGTCTCCCTGGCAGCTGCGGCGGCAGGAGGCAGCAGGCATGTCCTTGGCAGCTCGAGCAGAGGTTGCAGCGAGGCTGCACGCTGCTGAGTCAGCAGCAGCGTTCGCCACGTCAGCGGTGGAGGGGGGGCGGGCGTCGCTGCGGGCGGTGAAGGGTGTGAGGGCGCTCTGCCTGCAGGTGGCTGATGCGTGCTCGCGATCCGCATGGCGCAAGGTAAGGGGAAGGGGATGGGGGACGGGGGGAGTGGGGAAGGGGGAAGGGGGATGGAGGGAATGGAGGAAGGGGGAATGGGAAAGGGGGAAGGGGGCGTCACAGTGGTGAATGGCGCGAGGGCGCTGTACCTGCAGGTGGCTGATGTTTGCTCGCGATCCGCATGGCGCATGGTGAGGGGGCGGGGGAGAAAGGGAAGGGGGGCAGGTGATGGGGAAAAGGGGGAAGGGAGTTGGAAATGGACAAGGCAAGGGCATGCAGAAAGGATGATAGGGAGGAAAAAAATTGAAGTGAGAGGGCGGGTTAGAGAGGGGAAGTCGGGGGGATGTGAGAGAGAAGGCGAAGGCGATAAGTAGAGAAGTTTCAGGCGAGTGCACACATCAAGAGAGGAACAGAAACAGTTACCAGCTACCTCACCCACTTTCTCCCACGGCGCCCTACTCCTCCCCGCCCCCTGCCCCTCACCAGATCCCAGCCTGTGAGGAGCTCTTCTCAGCGGTCCTATCAGCAGCCGCCAGGCTGGCAGTGCGGCAGAGCGAGGCGAGCGGGGCAGGGCGGGAGGACGCGGAGGCAGCAGCGCTGCAGGAGACACTCCTGCCCATGCGCTCCCTCGTGCTCGCCGCCGCCATGCAAAGCCCCATCCCTGCCGCTTCCCCCACGCCCACCACCGCGCTCACTGCCACGAGGCGCGCGCCGATGGTGGCGAGTGTGGTGGGGGCGTGCAGCCTGCTGCTGCAGGCCACGTGGGCGTCTGGCGACCACGCACGCGTCAAGTCCTTCCTGCTCTCCCTGGGATCGTACATGCGCCAGCCTCCCTCCTCGCAGGTGCCATGAATTTACATTCTTCTAGGTACAAGTTCACGCTTAGCGAAGTGAAACGAATGAATGAAAGCCATTCCAGTTAATAAGAAACGTAGTGCTCACTACTCAGGCAAACAACAGGCAACTGGAAGCATTACAGCTTTTGCAACCTCTTGCCTCCCCGCGTGGCACGCTGCTCTGCAACCTTTGCCTTGGCCTCCCACCCCCTGTTTCCCCTCTCCCCTCTGCAGGACGAGCAGCAGCGCGCCAGCATGGCATGCCTGCGCTACAACCTGGCGCCCATCCTAGTAGAGGTAGCAGCAGCGGCCAGGGGCGCTACAGCCGTGACAGCCGTGGTTCCCCTGCTGCTGGAGGCAGTGCGAGCACCCAAGGAGGACCCCGCTATCCGCCACGAGGTGCTGCGCGCGCTGGCAGCAGCAGCGGTGGCGGCGGCAGGCATGGGGCAGGAGGGGCCGTACCGAGAGGTGGCAGTGCTGCTGCTGTGGGAGTATGGTCGGGAGGCGGGGGAGGTGCAGCCTCAGGTGGAGGTGAGTGGTGGGTGGGGTGCGGGAAGGAGAGATTGACGAGGGTAAGAGTGGGGTAGGAGGGGCCGTACCGAGAGGTGGCAGTGCTGCTGCTGTGGGAGTATGGGCGGGAGGCTGGGAGGTTCAGCTTCAGGTGGAGGTGAGTGGTGGAGGAAGGGGGGAGGGTAGGGATGGACGGGGAAGAGAGGGAGGAGGAAGGGACGTGTAAGGGGGATGTGGGATTTGGGAGTAGGGAGTCGGGATAGGAGAGTTTGCTCACATTGTACAGAAACATCTACCGCCGCTGCTTCTCTCCTCTTCTCCCGCCTCTCATCTCCCCCAACCCCACATGAGCTGCTCTGCTCCGTTCTGTCACAGCTGGCTTCCACTCTCTCTCCCTCCCATCGTTTTGAAACCACTTTCTGCCATTCTTCTCCTCTCCTCTTCTCCCGCCTCTCCTACCACCCCCACCAGGTGCTGTCCTCTGTGCTGGCGCAGCTGGCCTCGGGTCTCTCCCGCCCATCCCTCCGAGACGACTTCTTGCGTCGCCTGCTCGCCACCTGTGCTGAGGTGGCCCTTGCCACAGAGGCGGAGGGGGGCAGGTGAGCAGGCCAGGTCCACTAGAGCAACGGTGTGGACCTTGTCCTTTGCAGTGTGTGCTTGCCGCTTGCCCCTCTTGCAAACGCTTGCTCCTCCCTGCACTGCCTCAACCTAACCTCCCCTCTCCCTCTCTCCCTCACGTTGTGCCCCCTCCGTGCCCCATCAGCCGGGGAGCAGAGCTGCTGGGTCCCCTGCTCCCAGCAGTGGCAGCGGCGTGTCGCCACGTGGACCCTCTACACCGCCCGGTGGACCCCTCCCTGCAGCGCCTCTTCCGCAACCTCTGGTTCTACTGCGCTCTCTTCCGCCTTGCCCCGCCCCTCCACTCCTCCCCCGCCTCCGCTGCTGCCGCTGCCGCCGCCGCCGCTGCCGCTGCAGCCACTTGTGCCGAAGGTGCCTTTGGTGCAGGATCAAGCAACACTCCTGATGCTGCTGCCGGGGGTGGTGGGCAGGGCGTGGCTGGTTCCCCGTCGCCGTCGTCCAATCCTCCAGGGGTGCTGGCAACTTGCACCGGTGGTGGGGGAGGTGGCAAGGCGGGGGGAAGTGCGGACGACTTGACCAAGGGGCCGTATGCATGGCGGGCTGAGTGGGCTGCTGCTATGAGGCACATCGCTGCTCATACTCCTCCGCTGGTATGTGCCCCTCACACTTAGTTGCACAAGAAGACAGATGCACAATCACACAGATGCACAATCACACAGATGCACAATCACACAGATGCACAATCACACAGATGCACAATCACACAGATGCACAATCACACAGATGCACAATCACACAGATGCACAATCACACAGATGCACAATCACACAGATGCACAATCACACAGATGCACAATCACACAGATGCACAATCACACAGATGCACAATCACACAGATGCACAATCACACAGATGCACAATCACACAGATGCACAATCACACAGACACACAAGCAGGTAAACTCACCGGGACACATGCACACATGCACACATGCACACAAGCATGCACCAGCACCTGTAACTGCACAAGGGATCCTCACTCCTAGACTCTAGGTTTCTTGCGTTGCGTGTAGGGTGTCTCACATGTGCTCAGAGCTGCCAGGCCCGCGTGTGCTGCTGGAGGGTGCGTGGGCGGTCTTCTCCCCGCGTGCATCCATCTGTGCAGGCAGTGGGCGCCTTCTCGCGCCTTGACGACGAACTGGAGCTCGCAGCGCTGCACCGCCCTGGCAGCCAGAGGGGCAGCGGCAACGAGCAGGCGGCCGTGAGGCAAAGGAACGTGCTGGGCGCGGCTGTGGGGTCAAGGCTTGATGCGAGCGTCATCAGCAGCATCACTGGTGGGTGGGAGGAATGATATGGTTTGGGCAAGCTGTCTGAAGGGGAGAGGTGTCGGGCAGGCAGGTGTGAGGCAGAAGGGCAAGCACTGATGGACGGTGGTGTGACCGTGTGAGTGGACCGTCACTGTAGGAAACAGTTTTTGTTGTTGTCACTAGTTCAATACAATAGTACCCTCTTACCGCCCGCTTGACAGATTCGCAGAAGTGACACATTGCATGTGCCCGCCCACCTCTTGCATTCTGTGCAGGGGTGAAGGCCACCAATCTGTTGTCCATTGTGCTGCTCGAGTCCCTCCGCGTGTCTGCTGCCACCGCCCTCGTCCCCGTCCCTGACACCACCCCCCACTCGCCCGCCCGCGGAGAGGAGACCAGTCAAGTAGCAGCAACAGGAGAAGCAGCAGGGGTGGTGGCGGCGCGGCAGCGGTGGGAGGAGGGGAGTGAGAACCGCAGTGCAGTGACGTGTCTGCTGGAGTACATTCAGATGCCCAACCCCCGCGCTGCTGTGCGCCACTGCCTCTCTGCCGTCGTGCTCCGCGCCTTTGACGCCCTCCTCCTTGCCCTGGTGAGACTTTGACATCACTGCTGTTCTCTTTGACCTCGCAAGAGCCCAGCGGGACAGAGGAAGGCAGCAGTGTCATGTCATCCGTGCATGCGGCTTCATGCTGCCTGTTCCCTGTGGACACATCAAATGGGTTCGCTCCATTCACCAATCTAGTCCACCCCGCCTCCCATCCCCGTCCACCTCCCTCCCACCTTATTGCACATTCCTTTGCATTGCATTCCCCCCCTCTCTCCTTTCCCTGCCCCCTCGTAGGAGCACGAGCCGAGCGACACAGTGAGGCTGGCAACCCTCTCAGCACACGCATGCATGCTGCTGGACTGGACGCGCTGTGGGACGGGCAGGAGTTTGTGTGCGACACAGCACGCACCATGCTCTTCCCCCCCTCCCCACCTCCCACACAGGAGCATGAGCCCAGCGACACGGTGAGGCAGGCGGCATTATCCGCGCACGCATGCACGCTGCTGGACGCGCTGTGGGACGGGCAGGAATTCGTGCGAGACACAGCGCGCACGATGCTGAGCCTGCTGCGCAAGGCCTTCCCGCACCTCCTCTGGCACCCGCGCTGCATCCGCTCCCTCCTGCGCTTCCACCCGCCGCAGCACATGCTCGCCTCGGTCGGAGAGGCTGCAGCGGAGGCAGCGGCAGGAGTGGGAGGGGGAGCAGGGGGAGGGGACGGGGAGGAGGAGATAGCGGAGGTGGCGTGGGATCCAGAGGCGGCTGCTGCAGCTGAAGTTTTGGCCATGGATGTTGCTAAGGACTGGCTCGCCACGGCGTTTCTCCTTGCGCCACTTGTCACGCAGGCATTGGTCGAGGTGACATCTGGGGGGTGGGGTGGGGGGGGGGGTAGGAGGGAGGGGTGGATTGTGTAGGGTCGTCCTTGGCTGCGCTACGTCGTCACGTGCTGTGCTCCCATGTGTAGATAGATAGGGCAGACAGCTGCCAACATATCCCTGTGCCTGTCTCCTCTTTCCCCCCTCCCCCCCCCCCCTCCCCTTTCCCCCTCCCCATTTTCCCTCACTCTCCCCATGTTTTTTGTTTGTGTGTGCGTGTTTTTTTTTTTGTTTGACGTCCCTCTTCAACCCATCCCCACGCTCCCCACTGGCTACGTGTTTCCACAGGAGGTGCTGCGGGGTGGGGACTCGGACCCAGAGTCAGTGGCGGGGCTGCTCAGTGTGCTGGCAGACATCAAGCACCGGCCCCGAGGTAGGGGGCGCTGGGGGTAGTGCATACCTGCTACACTGCTACACGTCACTCATTTATGGCAATGGCAGGGGAAATCTTCTCTGTGTCCATCCATATCCTTCTCCTTCCTCGCTCTTTACCTATCCCTCCTCTGGTTCCCTCATCCATCTACCCGCATTCTTCCTCATAACACCTCTCTTCCTCCTCTCCGTTCCACCCGTCTCATACCCCCCAGGGTCAGCAGCAGACAGCACGCGGTCGCCCTTCACCCTGGCAGCACAGGCCACAGTGGCCGCATCCCTCAAAGCCCACAGCATGGGGCAGGTCGCCGGGCTGCTATCAGCCCTCTCCTCGCTCCCTGCTGCCTCAACCGGCATATCCGGCACAGCAGGCACAGCAGCAGTCACGTTTGGCACAGCAGGCTTGGAGGCCCATCCTCCTGCCCACTCTCCTTACAAGCATGGCGCTGGTATAGCAGTTGGATCGCATGCTGTTCCGCATGCAGCAGCCAAGCCGGACCCCCATGTGACTCTACTGCAGGCGGCTGTGACTCAAATGGAGGCGCTTGTAGAGGGCGGGGGCGGGGGAGGGGAGATGGGGCAGGGGGTGGTATCATGGGGGCACATGGGGGGGGAGGAGGGGCGGAGGAAGGAGAAGGAGAGAGCCGCATCCGTGGCAGCAGATGCAGAGAAAGTCCGGGACAGGTGCCTATGGGCTGTAGCTGCTCTAGTGCTTGTGGAAGGGCAGCAGAGGGGGCATCAGAGAGGGCAGCACAAGGGGCAGCAGAGGGGGCAGGGCAGGAGGCGTGCCTCTCCCCATCAGTCCGCTCTGGAGCTCCGTCTAATCCATCTCCTCGCCCGCACGCCCCTGCGTTTCTTCACCCCCCAGTCCCTCCGCGCCTGCTGCCTCGCCTGGGCCTGGCTGCTCGCCGCCCTCCCCCGCCTCTCTGCCCCTCTGCTCTCCCAAATCGCAGCGGCGTGGGGGGAGACGGTGGCGGGGAGGAGAGGGGTGTTCAGAGCGTTGCAGGGGGATGAGGAGGGGCCAAGGGGGTGGCTGCGGCCGCTGGTGGTAGGGGGGGTGCCAGAGGGGTTTTCGGATCACAAGGGGGAGGAGGCGCAGGCACTGGAGGAGCTGGGCGCGCATGCTGCTTGGATCACCTTCATCTCTGACTGTTCCGAGGTGGGTGCTTGGCATGTGGTTGTGCTTGGCATGTGGTTGTGCTTGGCATGTGGTTGTGCTTGGCATGTGGTTGTGCTTGGCATGTGGTTGTGCTTGGCATGTGGTTGTGCTTGGCATGTGGTTGTGCTTGGCATGTGGTTGTGCTTGGCATGTGGTTGTGCTTGGCATGTGGATGTGCTTGGCATGTGGTTGTGCTTGGCATGTGGTTGTGCTTGGCATGTGGTTGTGCTTGGCATGTGGTTGTGCTTGGCATGTGGTTGTGCTTGGCATGTGGTTGTGCTTGGCATGTGGTTGTGCTTGGCATGTGGTTGTGCTTGGCATGTGGCTGTGCTTGGCATGTGGTTGTGCTTGGCATGTGGTTGTGCTTGGCATGTGGTTGTGCTTGGCATGTGGTTGTGCTTGGCATGTGGTTGTGCTTGGCATGTGGTTGTGCTTGGCATGTGGTTGTGCTTGGCATGTGGTTGTGCTTGGCATGTGGTTGTGCTTGGCATGTGGTTGTGCTTGGCATGTGGTTGTGCTTGGCATGTGGTTGTGCTTGGCATGTGGTTGTGCTTGGCATGTGGCTGTGCTTGGCATGTGGTTGTGCTTGGCATGTGGTTGTGCTTGGCATGTGGTTGTGCTTGGCATGTGGTTGTGCTTGGCATGTGGTTGTGCTTGGCATGTGGTTGTGCTTGGCATGTGGTTGTGCTTGGCATGTGGTTGTGCTTGGCATGTGGTTGTGCTTGGCATGTGGTTGTGCTTGGCATGTGGTTGTGCTTGGCATGTGGTTGTGCTTGGCATGTGGTTGTGCTTGGCATGTGGTTGTGCTCAGATGCACAGCTGTGGCAGCGAAATCCAGGCAGCAGCCATTGCGCGGTTGCTCCTCTCTCAACTCTAATACTCTGATCTGACCCCCCTGTTCTCATTCCTCTCCATCTATCCTTCTCTGTCACCGTTCCTATTTCATTTGTGCTGCTGGCAGATGTACGGGCGGGGCAGTAAGAGTCAGGCGGCAGCCATCAAGAGGCTGTTGCCCTCCAACCCTCATCCACTCCATCTATCCTTATCCCTCTCCTTCCTGTGTGTGTGTGTGTGTGTGTGTGTGTGTGTGTGTGTGTGTGTGTGTGTGTGTGTGTGTGTGTGTGTTGGCAGATGTACGGGCGGGGCAGTGAGAGCCAGGGAGCGGCCATCGAGAGGCTGCTGCTCGCCTCTCTCTCAGACATCACACGTCTCTCCCGCCACCCTGCCGCCCGCGCACCCCTCTTTGATCTCTTCCGCCTCGCGCTCTCCTTCGCTCGCACCCGCCTCCTCGTCGCCACCAACCCCGCTCGCACCGCTGCAGCAGCAGGAGCAGCAGGGGTGGCAGGGGCAGGGGCAGTGGCAACGTCATTGGCAGCAGCAGCAGCAGTGGCGGATGTGAGCCGGTCAGATGCTGCCACGTCGCCGCATGTGTTCTCGGCACGGTTGCTACGGGACCGAGCGCACAGGTGCGCATCAGGCAGACCCCATTGTCCAACAGTTGAGCAACAACTTGTGTGCTTATGTATAACGCAATGCGAGAGGGAATGTGGGACTCAGCTCGAGGTCAACTTCTACCCACCTCTCCACATTCACTCTCATGCCCCTGTTTCACCTTCCCCCTCCTCCAACAGGGCGGTGCTGAAGTGGTTCAGCGTGGAACGGGGGTACTACGTCGGCTGATACGATTGATTGACTTTTGAGTCGACTCAAAAGTCAGCGTGGAACGGGGGTACTACGTCGGCTGATACGATTGATTGCAGGAACAAGTGTCGTATCAATCCCCACTCTCTTCCCGCACCTTTCATAACCCCACAACCCCTCTATCAGGGCGGTGCTGAAGTGGTTCAGTGTGGACGCGGGCTACTTTGACGGCTGGCCCAGTGCGCTCAGGAGGCAGGCAGCCCTCGAGGAGATGGCAGTCATGGATGCATTCAGCAAGGCGCTGGCCGATGATGACACCATGGAGGATGCATTCTGGCCGCCCCCTGCTGGTGCCACTGCTACTGCTGCCCTCTCCCCTGCGGTAAGCTGCTGCTCTCTCGCCCGCGTATGCTGTTGCTCTCTCTCTCTCGCCTGCAGCAAGGCGCTGGCCGATGATGACACCATGGAAGACGCCTTCTGGCCGCCGCCTGCTGCTGCCGGCACTGCCTCTGCTGTCCTTTTGACTGCAGTTAGCTCTGATGCTTTTGCTACTGGCAGCGCTCGACGAGATGGCAGCCTAAGAGCTCCAGTCCAGAGCACCAGTCCAGAGCACCAGTCCAGAGCACCAGTCCAGAGCTCCAGTCCAGAGCACCAGTCCAGAGCACCAGTCCAGAGCACCAGTCCAGAGCACCAGTCCAGAGCACCAGTCCAGAGCACCAGTCCAGAGCTCCAGTCCAGAGCACCCGTCCAGAGCACCAGTCCAGAGCTCCAGTCCAGAGCACCAGTCCAGAGCTCCAGTCCAGAGCACCAGTCCAGAGCACCAGTCCAGAGCACCAGCCCATGACACCCCCCCACCCCCCTCCCCCCCCCCCCCCTTCATGCACCCGCGTTTCCCTCCCCCCAGCAGTCCCACCAGCAGCGCCGCCATCCAGTGTGGGGGGCATTCTTCTCCTCACTCACTCTCATGTACCCTTTGTTCCCTCTCCCGCCCTCCCACCTGCTGCCAGTCCCACCAGCAGCGCCGCCATCCAGTGTGGGGGGCATTCTTCTCACCGCACCGCTCGCAGGAGAGGAGAGGCAGCAGCGCCGCCATCCAGTGTGGGGGGCATTCTTCTCACCGCACCGCTCGCAGGAGAGGAGAGGCAGCAGCGCCGCCATCCAGTGTGGGGGGCATTCTTCTCACCGCACCGCTCGCAGGAGAGGCAGCAGCGCCGCCGCCTGGGGGGGGCATTTTTCTCCTCACTCACTCTCATGTACCCTTTGTTCCCTCTCCCGCCCTCCCACCTGCTGCCAGTCCCACCAGCAGCGCCACCCTGTGTGGGGGGCATTCTTCTCGCAGCACCGCTCGCAGGAGAGGCAGCAGCGGCGCCGCCTGCTGGCCCTGCTCACCGCCCACGAGGCCGAGTGCTCCGCTACGTGGGCCTTCCCCCTCAGGTCAGTGCTTCCCTCTCAACCCTCCAAGGCCTCTCCCTTGAGGTCAGTGCGAAATCCCAGACAGTTGATTCTTGAGATGACTCAAGAGTCTCACGGGTGAGTTACCGTTTCTTTAGCCTGATCCTATCCTCTCATTTGCTGTCACCTTTGCGCATGCAGCGATGCGCGGCTTAACCTTGCACCCTTCCCACCTTCACTTCCCTCCCCTCCTCTGCCTTTCGCTTTCCCCTCCTTACACCAGTTTTGCACCAGATGCGTCACGCACGGCAGCAGCAGCGGCAGCCACGGATATCCAGCGCAGCAGGGCGCGAGTCACCGCGTCGCTCTCGCCCAATGACGTGCCGCCACTTGTGCGCGCCGCATGGGCTGTCGACCCGCGAGTGGCCGTGTGCTTAGTGCAGCGCTTCCCTTCTGTCAAGGGCATTCAGGACGACGTGGGGACACTCATCCGGGTGAGTGGAGGCTTGAGCGTGCAGGCTGGTTCTTCAAAGGCAGCATTTCTGGACTGGTGCAGTGCAGAGAGCTCACTTCCCATCTGTGAATGTGAAGCAGCAGTGCACCAGGGTTCGCCTCGCCCCTGCTGCGTCTTCAGCAGCCATTGTATCGACGAAACTTACCCATGCCCTTCCCTGTTGCTCCCCTCCCCTCCCCTCTCCTCCCCTCCCCTCCCCTCCCCTCACACACAACCACCAGTCCATGCCACTGCTGGTTCGTTCTCTCCCCGAGGCCCTCCGGTGGGTGGTGACGCCAGCAGCAGTGGTGCAGCAGGACTCGCCCCTCCTCCGTCTACCTCTCCCCTACTGGGCGCCATGCTCCGTGGCAGCCGTGCTCAACCTGCTGCTGCCCGCCTTCAAGGGCCATCCACGTGTCATGGCGTATGCATTCAGGGTGCTGGAGGCGTATCCCCCGCCCACTGTCACATTCTTCATGCCGCAGCTCGTGCAGGCACTTAGATACGACCACGATGTGAGTGTGGCTGGTCAGAGAGATCACCATCTGAGTGGTCGGTCAGAGAGATCATGTTCTGAGGCTTAGATATGGTTCTGATGTGCCTCTGATAGATAGACCTGACAAGCTGTCTGGTTTGTGGTTTCTTCTCCTGTCTGCCTGCGCCATCCTCTGTCTCCCACTTTCCCTTCTCAGCGCTGCACTTCGCAAATTCATTTGCTGCTTTCAACAAGTCAGAGTCTGGTTCGCCTCTTTCGTTCCTGCCTTCTCCTTCCCCGCCCCGCAACCCCTCCCCATTCCATCCTTACATTGCCCCCCTTTCCTAACCGGTGTTGCAATGTCATGTCACTTTTACGATCCTCACATGCCTCTCCCTCCCTTCCCACTCGCCCTTACCCACCCATGGCAGGGGCTGGTGGAGTCATACCTGCTGCGAGCTGCCCTGCGCAACATCATCTTCGCCTCTTCTGTTCCTGCCCTCTCTTTTCTACCTGTCCTCTCTTGCCAATCCCCGCGTGCCTCTCCCTCCCTTCCCACTCGCCCTTACCCACCCATGGCAGGGGCTGGTGGAGTCATACCTGCTGCGAGCTGCCCTGCGCAACATCATCTTCGCGCACATTCTCATCTGGCAACTGCAGGTGCGCTGCTTGCCTTGGGATGTAGTGTCTAGTTGACCGCGCTCCATTGCCTGATCAGAAAAAGAACTGAAAGTAGCTGAGACAATCAGCCATCAATCACTCTGAGCACTTGATTGAAACAATTGATTGGAATTGGCGCACAGATCATCCAACTGAACCTCCCTTTATTCCACTCTCCCTGCCATCCCTTCCTACTCTTCCGCTCACCACATCCCCACTCTGCTTGTCCCATTCCAGGGAAACTAGATAGATCCTGAGGGGCATAACCCCTTCTCTTCTCCACCCATCACAAGCCTTTGTATTCCCCATCATCCTCCTAACCCCCATTCCTCCCCCAGGGCGAGGAGGCAGATCCCGAGGGGCAGCAACCACAGCTTCTCCTTCTATGGCTTCAAAAATCCTCAAAACTCCCCACCCCCTGCAAACCCCATTCCTCCCCCAGGGCGAGGAGGCAGATCCCGAGGGGCAGCAACCACAGATCCTCCTTCTATGGCTTTAAAAATCCTCAAAACTCCCCACTCCCCGCAACCCCCATTCCTCCCCCAGGGCGAGGAGGCAGATCCCGAGGGGCAGCAACCACCAGCTCTCGAGTCCTCCAACGGTGCAGCAGCAGAGGGAGGTGCATCTGGAGAAGGCGCAACTGCTGCAGCAGCGACAAACATCCTGTGGACGATAGTCCCGCGGGTGCGGCAGCGCATCATCGACAGCTTCAATGCCGAGCAGCGGGCTGCTTTCGACCGCGAGTTCTCCTTCTTCGATGCCGTCACCTCCATCTCCGGCACGCTCCGACCCGTGCCCAAGGAGAAACGCCGCGCCGCCATCCAGCCGTACGTCCTTGTCTGTCTTGTGGTCGAAACTCACAGGCATCCCCGATTATAATTATACTGTCCCCATCGCTCGACCACATTTTCCCACTTACCCTCTCACGAGCAACGCATCGCCCTTTCACCCCCAACACCCTTCCTTCCCCCCCCTCCCCCCACCTCCTTCTTTTTCGTCCCCCCACCAGCGAGCTGGAGAAAATAAAGCTGCCGGGAGACGATTTGTATCCGCCCACAGACCCCAACATGCTCTGAACTCCATCACACAACACCCTTTCACACCCAAACACCCTCCAACACCCTCCATTCACTCACTTGCGCACAGGGAGCTGGAGAAAATAAAGCTGCCGGGAGACGACGTGTATCTGCCCACGGACCCCAACATGCTCGTGCGCAGCATTGTGCTGGACAGCGGCATTCCCCTGCAGTCCGCCAAAAAGGTACGGCTTCACCAAGTTAGTCAAACCTCAACTCTTTTGAGGTTTGAGACTTGTCTCTTTTTTTTTTTTTTACCCAGCTGCATTCCTCTGCCTCTTCTTCTTCCAGCAGCGTAATGAAGCCCCTCTCTCTGGTGTGCAAAGGTGTAACCGCATAGCATTACAACCAGTATGGAAAATATAGTACATACCTCGTCTTCTTCCACCTTCCTCCCCTCCTCCCCTCCTCCCGTCCTCCTGTCGTCTCCTTCTCCAACATTTCTTCTTTCACACCCTCTCCACCCTCCCAGGTGCCCATCCTGATATCATTCATGGTGGTGCGCAAGGACGAGGACGGGGTGGTGGACGAGCACAAGCCCGAGCACGAGACTGACACGTGCTGCAACCTCCCATACGCCCCACCACACCCTCTCCCCCCCTCTCCCCTCCCCCCAGGTGCCCATCCTGATATCATTCATGGTGGTGCGCAAGGATGAGGACGGGGTGGTGGACGAGCACAAGCCCGTGAAGCAGGGATGCATCTTCAAGGTGGGTGGGTGCTGTGCTCAGGCAGCCGTGCTGCAATCTCTTTTCATAACACCTTCTCACTGTGATCATATCTCGTTCTCTGATCCTGTTGTGCCCTGCCAGGTGACTTAAAAGTCACCTCATAACACCTTTTCACCGTGATCATATTTCGTTCCCTGATCCTGTTGTGCGCCCAGCCAATTCACTCACTGCTCTGCCAACGTGACCTACTCTTATACTTACATCTACATTCTGTGTTGTGTGGGAAATACGCCAGAATTCGTCACACGCTGACCTTTTCCTGGCGCTATGCCCTCTGTCTCCCCCTCATGATGCTGTGCTGCCCTCGCAGGTGGGAGATGACTGCAGACAGGACGTGCTGGCTCTACAGGTCAGTCCCACTCCACCCTTGCCACCTCACAGTCAGACCCACGTGGGAACTGCAGGTCGAAACTGCAGGTGGGAACTGCAGGTCGAAACTGCAGGTGGGAACTGCAGGTGGGAACTGCAGGTCGGAACTGCAGGGTCCAGGTGGTCCCTTACACGTTGTGAGACGTCTCAGTCAACTCCTGCACTGCAGTCAGTGAGCTCCAGTCAGTGAGCTCCAGTCAGGGAGCTTCAGTCAGGGTTAGGGACTGCCACTGCCACTGCCTCAGGTGATCGCCCTCCTGAGAGAATCAACAAAGCAGTGGGCCTGGACCTGTACCTGTTCCCTTATGGCGTGCTCCCCTCGGGGTATGAGCGCGGCATCATCCAGGTGGTGCCCAACACGTTGTGAGAAGCGTCTTGGTTGTCTCATTGCTTGTACTCCTTCCCCTGCCTCAGGTGATCGCCCTGCTGCGAGACATCAACAAAGCAGTGGGCCTGGATCTGTACCTCTTCCCGTACGGCGTGCTCCCCACGGGGTACGAGCGTGGCATCATTCAAGTGGTGCCCAACACGCGCAGTCGCAACCAGATGGGAGACGTCACAGACGGCGGGCTCTTTGACATCTTCCAGAACGAGTTTGGCGCCATCGGGTCCGCCGGGTTCGAGCGCGCGCGGCATAACTTTATTGTCAGCAGTGCGGCGTATGCGGTGGCGAGTTTGCTGCTGCAGCCCAAGGACCGGCACAATGGGAACCTGCTTGTGGATAAGTAAGATCATATTTAGTAAGCATCTATGTAGGCCCTGTAGCGACGTTTTCTGTAGCGGCCTACGTTGTACTGAGTATCTCTCACCATGGACCTTGTTGTCTCTCACGCTCGACACATGCCCTCATATAAATCCTCTCCCATATCCCTCTCCCGGAACTTCATGCAGCGATGGCCGTCTAGTGCACATAGACTTTGGGTTCATCCTGGAGACGTCGCCTGCTGGCAACCTGCGATTCGAGAGTGCGCAGTTCAAGCTGAGCCACGAGATGACGCAGATCCTCGACCCTTCAGGCGACCTCAAGAGCGAGCCCTGGCACCGCTTCGTTGGGTGAGACATGAGACAGGCTGCATGCTGTTCTTTGTCTGCTTGACATGGGCTTGCACAATTTTCCATGTCTGATGACTTATGGGTTGACTCAAGAGTGACCTCAAGGGCGAGCCCTGGCACGGCTTCGTGGGGTGAGCTGAGACGAGCTCATGTGCTGCTCTCATTCCCCCGTCTCCATATTCTCCCTGCTATTGTTTCTTGTTGACTTTTGTTTGCGTGCTTCTTCGTTTCCACTTGGCATGGGCTCACATGGTTTCCCTTTTCTGATTGGCATGCGATTAAATGCTGTGTCTTTCCTACGTGACGTCCTTCATTCTCAACTCATCCCTTTTCTCCATCGACCCAATGCAGTCTGTGTGTGAAGGGCTATCTGGCGGCACGGCGGCATCAGGACGCCATATTGAACACGGTGCAGCTGATGCTGGATAGTGGCCTGCCCTGCTTCTCACGCGGCGATGCTGTTGGCAACTTGAGGAAACGGTTTCACCCAGAGATGGGCGAGAGGGAGGCGGCCAGCTTCATGATTGCCACTTGCGTGGATGCGTACAACAAATGGACGACCGCTGGATATGATTTGATCCAGTACATGCAGCAAGGCATTCAGAAGTAATGCCTGGAAGGCTGAAGTGTTCCATTACGTATTATATTGTATGTTGTGCTACTAATGGGTTGTTCTTTTCCAGCTTGGTCAAACCTTCTTTTGTGTATTTGATTATTAATTTGTACTGCTGTTTCAGTTTGTAGATTTATATATGCATTGCACGATCAAGTACCTTTGAGCGTATACGATTGACAATTGTTATCTTCGGAGCCCAACGGAGGCGCTTCTAAACAGACTTATCTGAAGGTCTTCCTTCTCTCAATGCTGGCCGAATCTCCACAAGCACAGCACATGTACATGCTTTGAAATCTAGTCTCATGAAAGCATTTCGTGCCATCTCCCACGCCATGGCTTCTCGCAGCGTCTCCTCGTCCCTCCAAGGGATGCGGGTTCTGACTGCGAGCTCCTCCGGTTCAACCTATGCAGTCGCAAGCCTGTCGCCAGCCGTACGTGCACGTGTGAATGCTGTCGCAAGCGTTCGCACGTTCGCGCTTTCGGAGCATTCGCAGAGCCCTCTGGCAGGCATTCGCTCTTCGCTCCGTCGCGCGGGTGGTGCGAGCGACGAAACATTGCGTTCAGGCAAAGAAATTAAACGATGCGCTGTGAATAATTCAAGCAGCAAACGATCCGTCGATGTCAAAGCACAGGCTGGCGGAGGAAATACAGGCTCCGGGGGAAGTACAGGCGGAGGGAGAGGAGGCGGGGGCGGAGGGGGGAGCGGCGGAGGGGGTGGGGACGCGAGCAACGGCGGAGTTCCTCCTTCAGGACTTCAATTGCTGGCCCTAAGGTAAGCGACGATTTCAAGATGCGGTTGGTTAGCAAGCTTCGTGCACGTAGCCGTGACAGTTATTTATGTGCTGTCTTCGCCTACCTTTCTCCACCCCGCGCCCCTCCCCACCCCTCCTTCCCTCCCTTCCCACTTTTCCCCCTTCTCTTCTCTCTGGCGTCAGCTACATGGCATCGCTAGAGTCACGACCGTTTGTGACAAAGGGGATCACAGCCGGCTTGCTGAACGCACTTGCAGACCTTTTCTGTCAGGTATGTTCAAAGGATGCGCTCTTGGTTGATTGGTGCACTTTCTTTTGATGGATAAGTACACACGTGCTCTTTTTGCAGATTGACTGTAAAAAGAGTTTTCCAATGTCGAAGCTACTCTTACCAGTACTCTTTTCCCTGGTTTTTGCGAGCTCACCTCCCTGCTTCTAGGTTGTTGTGGAAAAGGACTCATCCATTGATGTTCGACGGCTGGGAGGCTTCGCTGCCATTGGACTATTCATTGTCGGCCCCGCTTTGCATATCTGGTGAGGCTCGCTTGTTTTGAATTTGCCTGCTCTGAGTAGTACATTGCAGCCTTTTGTTTACTTGTCCACGGAAGAAGAGTTGATCTGTGATGTGCTTTGTGTGTGTTAACAGGTATGGCCTGCTTGGAAAGTTTATTGAAATTGAGGGTTTCAAAGGAGTTCTTGCTCGATTGCTCATTGACCAAGTAAGGGTTTTCCTTCTTGTAGCCTGTGCTTGTCAGTTGGATGATTGGCTGTGTTGCTTTCTTCTTTGCAATGCAGATGTTTGATGGTTCTTTTCTGTAAGTAATTGGTTAATGGCATCATTTCTCTCTGTGCACATCAGGTGATATTTTCCCCGTTATCAATTGCCACATTTGTGGGGCTGGTATTGCTGCTGGAGGGCAAGCCAGAGCGTATTGTGCCTAAACTAGAGAAGGTGAGATGTCTACAGGGGACAGTTGTGAAGGCTTGGTTGCTGTAATGATGGGCATCGATTCACTTGACATTAAATGCTTCTGAGAATGAATGTGGCTTTTGCAGCGTTTGATAGCTCGGCTCTTGCTCCATGCAGGATTTTGTGCCAACTTGCATCAACATGTGGAAACTCTGGGTGCCGTTCCAGCTATTCAACTTCGCCCTTGTGCCTCCACAATTACAGGTATGTACTAGATCCAGGGCTTTTTATTTGCACTCTTTGTGGTTCTTCATCTTACCGCATGTGACTATTCTTTTCTTGTTGGGCAGGTTGGTGCTGTGAATCTAGTGGGCCTAGTCTGGACCGTCTACATGTCCTTCGCAAGCCACAATGACATTAGTGATGCTAAATCCCATGAGAAAAAGGAAGCTGCATCTGCATAGGGTGTAGAATTTTGTGGCCTGAGTTGCCACTGTGAGTTGCTTTTTATGGCGTATAGAAGTGTTGTAAACCCCAGCGAGTTGCTTTTGGGTCTCAATGTCTCTTGATTGGTTGCCGCTGTGCAAATTTGTTCATCTGGTGAAGCTGAAACCAGAGGGCGCGCGATTAGAGGGACAGTCCACCCCGACGCCTTACCCGATCGCGAATCCAACGGCCAAGATATTCGCAGCCAGTCGTCGAGTATCTCAGCGGTTCTGTCCCCCAATCTTACGGCCAAGCGTTCTCGCCTCTGCGAACAATCCCCCAGCCCAGCCCTACCAACTATCTTGTTCACACACGGAACATCCCTCTGCTCCGCCCCTCGCCATTGTAGCGCAGGAGGACTTAGACAATCACCAAACTCCGCCCACCAATTTTCCTTCCCTTCCACCTTACCCTTTCCACCTCACCCCACCCTACCCCATCCCACTCTACTCTTTCCCACCTCCCTGTTTCTTTTAGCAGGCGAAACACCTTCCACTCCACCTCTTGACGCGCTTTCCCCCTCACGGCTTTGTCCAGCTGAAGTTACCTCGGAACTAATCCCAGCGGCCATTGTTAGCGTTGATTTCTGTGACAGGTTAGTTCACGGCATTGCGTTGACCTTAGCTCTGCCTAGCACCGCATTGTGCCAACGTTGAAATTTACGTTGTTTGCCAATTTCGGGTCTCTGCTCTAACAACGAATGTAACGGTTTTGGGCATTTTCCTGTCAGCCATTGTCAAGGCAGAGTCACCGTCGAGCTGCACCTGCACAGGACTTGTCGAATACAAATAACTACTACTACTAAAAGCTTAAACCAGAAAACCGTAGTAGTTACAGACTCTTTAACTCCGCGCGGCAATGGCGGGGGGTGGTCTGCGTGTGGACGTATCAAGAGACGAAGGCGACGAGCATGCGGAGGGAACGGCGCAGCCCAAGGCGAGATTCTCCGGCGGGTCGCCGTCGGGCGAGTCGTCGCTGGTGCAGCAGCGCTTCCCGTCGTCCAAGATGAAGGTCGACGAGCTCTTCATTCAATGGCTCTCGCTGCCCGAATCGCAGAAGCTGGTGGGTTCGCCTCGCGAAAGTTGGCTCCGTTAGGGTTGGCTTTTGCAAGGGGTGGCCTCTCAAGAGTTGGCTCCGTTAAAGTTGATTCCGCTAGGGTTAGCTTCGCAAAAAGTTGACCTCGCGGGGGTTCTCTATGGCTAGGGTTAGCTGTGTCGGAATGACCGCAAGCTGCCTCTGTTGCAAGGTTAGGGTTTGCTTACGCATGCAAGGCAAGTGCTTGCTCGGAAATTGCTGGGACGACGATCTGTTAGAATGGGAAGGGAGATGTGAGTATCCGACATACGCATTCGTGGCTGAAGATATTTCCACCAGTGGGACTGGGGAAAAATACTATGGATGAAGTACCAATGGACCTCCGTTCCCGTTCGTGCATTTCTAAATTCGTCCCTACGCGCTCTTCACTTATTTCTCATTGACGACTAGTTTTCGCTTGAGATCCCAGCGTTCGAAAGCCAATGCTGACTGCTTCCCTCTCAAACCCCGCCATCTCACCTGCCACGTGTCATGGTCCAGGTGATGTCGTTATTGGAAGACGCCAAAGCAGGCCGTCCGCTAATAGCCCCCGGGGGGCCCAACTCTCACAGCGCAAGCGGAAGCCTCTCCCCGCTCTCCCCCACAAGCGCCTCCTCGCTCTTCGGCGCAACCCCCCCGCTCTCCCCGCGGAGCGACAAGCCGATGTCGCCCAAGTCGCCGCTGCGTCGCCAGGCGTCGGGACTGAGCCACGCGGGATCGCCCGTGAAGCCGCACGCGAACCGAAGCTTCGAGGCGATTCCGCAGTTCTACTTTCCGAACGGCCCGCCGGCGACGGAGGACGTGGCGAAGCAGTGCATGGTGAAGATCCACCAGTTCTTCCACGAACACCCCGAGGGGCTCAACGCCGAAGGTGAGTGCGCGGGAGGGTGCGCGGGAGGATGCGCGGGAGGTTAGACAAAAAGTAGAACGTCTATTCTCGAGAGACGGAGGACGTGGCGAAGCAGTGCATGGTGAGGATCCACCAGTTCTTCCACGAACACCCCGAGGGACTCAACGTCGAAGGTGCGTACGGGGGGGGGAGGCTGTGGGGGAGGGTATGGGGGAAGGTAGGCGGGAGGTTGGGCGGGCGGGTGCGTGGGAGGGTGTGCGGGAGGTTATGCGGAGAACACGCCCAGGGATTATATGCGGAATGCATCTGAGCAGATGCGGACGCGCGATTTGTATGAGCCTTAGGTAGTCACATAACATCATCCCACACCCCCGTACCTCGTTCCTTTCACCTTCCTTCACTCTCACCCTCTCTCTCCTTCCCTCGTCTTGCAGCGTTCATGGCGGTGACACAGGAGGTGTGCAACGTGCCGTCCTACCCAAACACCCCAGTGGCGTCAGGCCCCAACCCGCTCTCTCTCCATCTCCCCTCCCACTCTCCGCACGTCTCTCCCCCCCCGCCGCGCAGCATTCATGGCGGTGACACAGGAGGTGTGCAACCTGCCGTCCTACTTCAACTCGGTCATCTTCCAACGCATCGACTCCGAATCCACCGGCCTCATCACCAAGTGAGTTCTCATCTCGCTTAATTCCCTTCTCTTCCCTCTTATCCCCTCTCTCTCTCTCTCTCTCTCTCTCTCTCTCTCTCTCTCTCTCTCTCTCTCTCTCTCTCTCTCTCCTATTCACGGTCTCCTACTCATCTTTTCCCATCCGTATCCATCGACCGCCTCTTCTCCCCTGCCCGCGTCCTCCTGTTCCTTCCTCTCCCGCTCCTCAGAGACGCGTTCATGCGGTTCTGGGTGGACCGGCGGCTGCTTGCAGCAGACATGGCGACGCAGATCTTCCACGTGCTCAAGCAGGACCACCAGAACTACCTCGTGCAGGTACTATCTGAGGCAGTGGTGCAGGTACCTGAGGCAGTGGTGCAGGTACTATCTGAGGCAGTGGTGCAGGTACCATCTGCAGCAGTGGTGCAGGTACTACCTGAGGCAGTGGTGCAGGTACTATCTGCAGCAGTGGTGCAGGTACTATCTGCATCAGTGGTGCAGGTACTAAACGCATCAGGACCACTAGAACTACCTCGTGCAGGTACTATCTGCAGCAGGAACCAATTTCAGGTGCCATGTGGTGCTGGGTGTCCCATTTATCCACGTGTCATTGTCCCCTCCTCTCTCTGTCTATCCTCCCTCACTCTCTCCTCCCCAACCCTGCCCACTCTCTCACTTGCCCCCGCCCCCGCCCTTTTCTCTCCTGCACACCGTGTTCCCTTCACCAACCCACCAATCTCTCCTCCCCCTCGCCTCTCCCCCCTTTGCTCCCCCCTTCCTTCCCCCCCCTGCGCGCGCTCCACAGGACGACTTCAAGCCAATCATGCGCGAGCTGCTGAACCGCCACCCAGGTCTCGAGTTTTTGCACGACACGCCTGAGTTCCAAGAACGATATGGTACGTGTGCATGTCACAGGTGGGGTTTGAGACGTCTCAAAGCAACAATACGGTACACATGCAAGCAGCAAGTGCGGTGTGGGTAAGCAACTGCTGTGCTAGGTTAGAATATTGAGCCACGTCCTAGCTTGTCTCAGTGTCCTTCTCTCGATCCCTTTGTATCTCTATATATCCCTAATTACCTTCCTCTCCATGTCGCCTGCCAGTCATTCCCCTCTCGTCTCTCTCCTTTCCGCTCCCCCCTCTCCATTCCACCCCCAATTTCCCGCTCACATGGTGCAGCGGAGACGGTGATATACCGCATATTCTACCACATCAGCCGGTCGGGCAACGGGCGCATCTCACTGAGAGAGCTCAAAAAGAGCAACCTCATGCAGGCGCTGCAGCAGGTGGAGGAAGAAGAGGACATCAATAAAGTGCTCAAGTGAGTCGGTAGAATATGCTTCTTGAGACCGCTGCAGAAGCCCCTAGACAAGTGCTACAGCAAGTGAAGCAGACTGCTGTCCACATGGTGTGCTTCACGTTCTGGTTCTCAGGGGCCTCCACCATCCCCCTCCCCCTGCAGGTACTTCTCGTACGAGCATTTCTACGTGGTGTACTGCAAGTTCTGGGAGCTGGATTCGGACGTACATTGCAAGATCCACATACCAACCACCCCCACCATCCCCGCACCACACCCCACCCATCATTAAGCATCTCAAGTCCACTCCCTCTCACAACAACCCCTCCCCCTGCAGGTACTTCTCGTACGAGCATTTCTACGTGGTGTACTGCAAGTTCTGGGAGCTGGATTCGGATCACGACTTCCTCATAGACAAGGACGACCTGCTGCGCTACGGCAACCACGCCCTCACCTACCGCATCGTCGAGCGCATCTTCGCCCAGGTGAGATGAGGCAATTCTCAAAGCGCCTCAGAAAGAGCTGACTTTTGAGTCGACTCAAAAGTCAGCCCAGGTGAGATGAGGCAATTCTCAAAGCGCCTCAGGAAGCAGCTACCACTATGTTGAGCGCATTTTCGCTCGTGACTGAAAGTCGTTCCCCAGGTGGGTGGTGCGGGATCGTATCTCAAGTGGGCCTTTCTTTGGGTTATCCTTCTGTTTCTCACCCCTATGCGTTTCGCTACTCCTCTTCCCCACTTCTCTCACTGTAGGTGCCCCGGCCGTTCACGAGTGGAGTGGAGGGCAAGATGGGGTACGAGGACTTTGTGTGGTTCATCCTCTCAGAAGAGGATAAGTCGTCTGAACCCAGCCTCGAGTACTGGTGAGTCTCTTCTCTTGCTGTCTATTGTAGGGAGCTTACTTGAGTAGATGTGCCAGTGCATGTGTGGGCGTGCACATCCGTGCACATTTCCTCCCTCACCCCAATCCCCCAATCCTCCTTTTCTTCCTCCCCGCAACATCCCCTTAGCGTGCACACTTACCAAGTTCTGGTGTGTGGATCTGAACGATTACAAGCGCATCAGAGCCCCAGAAATAGTATTTGAGGCACCTGAATATTTTATCCTTCCCTCCTACACAATCTTGGCGTGCATGCCAGGCTCTGGTGTGGATCTGGGCGACGACGACCCCATCACAGCACCCTACATGCTTTCTTAGGCGCCTCAATCAAATGCTTTCAATTATTTGTCCCCTCTACACATCCTTGGCATGCATACCAGGTTCCGGTGTGTGGATTTGGATGGGGACGAGCGCATCACAGCACCAGAGATGCAGTATTTCTACGAGGAGCAGCTGCACCGCATGGAGTGCATGGCGCAGGAGCCCGTGCTCTTTGAAGACGTTGTGTGCCAAATGGCCGACATGATTAAACCCGCGGTGAGCATGGGGGGGAGAGAGATGCTGGCGCAGTAGTTGCAGCACCGCGGAATTCTTTGAGGTCGTCTGCTAAAGGGTGGTATGATCAAACCTGCGGTGAGCATGGGGTGAGGGATGCTGGCCCAGGAACGGAGGGGTTGCGCTGGGCTAGACTGCTTGGACAGATGGGTATTTGATAGCACATTTTCCTGGGTTGGGCACTCCAATGAAATGCCTCCATGGTGTTTCGAGCAAAGACCAGTTGTTGAATTTCATGTACCATGTCAATGTATCTTACGCATTTCTTCCTGTGTGCTGCGCTTCCCTGACACTCTCCTGTCACCTTGAGCAGAAGGATGGAGTGATGACGTTGCGTGACCTGAAAGGGTGTAGATTGTCGGGCAACTTTTTTAACATACTATTCAACCTTAACAAATTCGTGGCGTTCGAAACACGCGATCCTTTCCTCATTCGACAGGTGAGCCTTTCCTTTTTCAACAGACAAAATAGATTGACGGATTGGTCTCTGCCTATGAAGAATGCCACAGCTACTTGTGCAATCTGCAGCAAGCTAATACGCACTTCCTCCTTGCTACAGGAAAGAGAAGACCCCACGTTAACAGAGTGGGACCGCTTTGCTCGAGCGGAATACATCCGACTGTCTATGGAGGATGAAGGGGATGATGCTTCCAATGGCAGTGCAGAGGTTTGGGATGAGTCCCTTGAGGCTCCCTTTTGAGCAGCATAGTGTAGCACCCACGGTGTGATATCAAATCGATTGATTGCATAACTTGTGCTGTTGCAATAACGAAAGGGCGTGCCTGCTCCCTAATTACTGAAACCCTGGCTATCTCCCTCCACATAGCATGTGTGCAAGCTACTCGCTATACTAAACCATTGAGTCCTAGTGTCATGTAAATGTGCTGTTCTGCAATAATTAATATTTCCATTGAAGGTCTACCTGAGGCTGAGGTGCACAAATAAGAACACATTTCAATTTTGGTACCGATGTCAACATGTGAACAGAACAGTGTGACTGCAGGTAACCAACCAACTATGACTTGGATGAGACATTTATGCTGGTATGGCTGCACCACTGTCGGCAACAGCTGAAGGCTGGACATCCGTTGATGCCTGCTGTGCCTCAGAGCCATTACTCTCGCCACTTTCACTTGTTGCTCCTGATGGAACTGCATCTGCGGACTTGTCTGTGGAATCAACTGCATCAGCGGTCGTAGGTTCCTCCACGCTCACACTCTCTTGCTCATGCTGCTGCTGTTCCTGGGCCTGTTCATACCACTTCTTCCTTTCCGCCTGCAATAACCGGCATAGACCCTCCAGCTTCTGCTTCTGAGCCTGCAGCGTCTCAAGCTGCTTGCACTGTGCCGCACGCTACCACAGCAAAACACAGAGACAAAGTCAAAGGTAATGGAGAGGAAGAAGCATCTTTGTAAGAGCAGAACCGTTCATCTTTCGTTGGCGAAAGGTCAATGGCAATTACCTCATCAAGAAGCTCAATCAGAGAAACATCCGACTTTTCAGACTTGGCTCGAAGTTCAGAATTGTCCTTCTCCAGCTTCTTGATGCGTTTCGTCATCTGCCATTGGATGGAGTTATCAGTAAGCCCGTCAGACAAAAAATGCTCTATCCAGTAAAGTTAACAGGTGAGGATTAGACTTGCCTTGTCCATTTCCTTCTTCATTGTGCCAAGGACTTCGTTGCTCTTGGACAAAGTACCCTGCATCAAGAAACCTTACCTTAATGAGCCCACACCATCCAGGATTCTGCAGCCAACCACAATACTTTGGGCGAAAGTGACATCCTACCTGGAATTGATCAAACTTATCAATGTATAACGCCAACTGGCCCCTCAGCTCTTTTTCTGACTTGAGAAGATCAATGACCTGTTCGCCTCTTGCCTTGCTCTGTTAGAGAGTGGGGCAGTGTTATGGAACACAGAAGAATGGGGAACTAATTATGCTGACAGTATTATTCATGGCAATCCATCATGAAACAAGCATATTTACTGGTTTGTCAGCTTACCAGAGCCCGTTCTTCGACCATTAACTTCTCTTGCTGCTTGAACTTTGCATCCAACAGCTGATACTCGAGGTCTTTCGTCTTGATCTAGGGACAAGATGGAAATTCAAGAGCAATATCATATTAAAATTTCGGAAAAAACAAAAGAATACGAATAAAAAAGCACCAGAAAAAGCCTTTTACAAAGTGAAATCACTTACAAGGTGAGCCCAGTACTTCTCCTTGACGTCTGCATGCTCTTGGATTTTCTTGAGTTGCTCGGCAAGACTGCACACATCATTGGATAAAGGGTTGACTAACGGAATAACAACCCCGCTTCACATGCCATATGAGATCGGAGGGAACTTGCACTTTAAGCCATTTCAATATTACATATGATTTTCCTTAAGGTGGCTTGATCTTTCAGCTCCCTGCTCTTCCAATCTGAGTTCGATGTCCTGCAAACAGCCAAAGGAAATCATGTGCTTGAATACCATCAACGACAGTGAGGAAGAGCAGCAGCTTAGGTCCTGGAATACCTTGATGGAGTCTAGGAATTTAGATGATAACTCCTCTCGTTTCTGCTGCTGCTCGTTTGCAGCCTTCTTGCTTTCTTCCTGTGCCACCAACGGCATTGAGCAGAAAGAAACAGCATGAGAAAATGATCCAGAAGAGCTAAAACGGATTACGGAAGCTTGCTGGAACGTACCAATATGGTCTTGTTTTGCTTCTGAAGTTCACGGCACAAGGTCTCCAATTTGCCACGAAGCGTGGCAGACTTCCTCATTTCGGCCATAACTGAAATATAAAGTATCTAGCCGGTAAGCACTTCAAACATGGAATGTTTTGAATAAACGGCATAAGACAAGAGGAAGCAGTTGTCGCACCAGAGTCGCGTTCCCTTGTTAGTTGATCAATCTTCTTCAGCAAAGCTGCGCTCTCCTTATCGCCAGCCTTAGCTTCCCGTGCCTGCAATGGGAAAGGTCAGACAATGAGAGCAAGCGAAAACATTGGAAACTAGTCATGTTCGGCTTACCTGCGCCATTATCTTGGAATGCAGAATCTTAATCTTCTCATCCGCTGGTACTTCAGGGTCATCAACGACACGCCGTATTTGTTCCAAAGCCAGCTTCCCTCCCTTTCCTGCAAGAGCGGGATGACGTTTCAGCCTCGAGTCAACAAGGTTTAGCTTAGCCTTGGTGAATGCACAGGAGAGTCTACTATTCAAAGAACTATTACCCTGAGATTTGGTCTTCCCTTCGGCTGAAGTTGACTTAGACGAGGATGCGGAGGTACTCGCCGGCGTGCTTTCCAGTCCAGTTTCAGCTGTGCTCTCAGCAACATATCCCTGCTCTGTAAGACCCTCTTTTTTGTCAACGCTTTGATCGTCGACACGAACGATTCCATCCTCCACTTCCGGGACATGGACCGTCGCTCCTTTCTGCCGATCCTCTGCCTGCGGAGCTTCGAAACTCGTCATACCGGAATCCGACGGGGGTTGAGCCGAGTCAGCCATTCCTCGACCAAGTAAGTATTAGAGTAATAAAATAACGAGTAACGAGTCTAAGTGACGAGATAGACACGGAGATTCAGGAACACAACAGACAGCCAAGGCAGAATTCGCTGACCCACCACCACTAACAACCTCGAGTAGCAGGCAAGATGTTGAAAAACGCAAGCACTGTACTTATTACAGCAGGTTTTCTGATTCTTCAAACCATGTATTCAGATTTTTAGGAATTTAATAAAAAGTTACATTGTACATTGCTTTTGGCCAACATGCAGTAGGAGGCAACTGATTGCAGCTTATACATTTATGCGAAGAGCCCTGTTACATGAAAATCAAGTTTGCATCCAAAGAGCCATATGGACCTGACTCTCTCCTCCATAACAACATATCAGACCCAGCCATGCAGATTATCTACATGTTGGCATGGCCGGGCTTTGCGACAAAGGCATTGCTATATGCCTGTACCCTGTCGTTTGTGCATGCGGTGAGCATGTCGTGAATGAATGCACCCCAGTTTTCACAACATGCTCCTTTTTCGGTTCCCCGCAATCCCATGTCATCCTGTCTCCTATGCCAGCCATGCCTTCCTCCAACCCTAGCCTTCCCCTCAACCCTGTTACACCTTGTCCCCTCCCCCTTCACGTCCACTTTCGGATCCATGGATGCTCTGCAGAGACGATGGAAAGGAGCAACACGAACACAGAAAGCAGAATGGGACAAAGGACAATAGAAGCTGGTCGCGATGACCCATGAGCAATGTCAGCTATGTCACCCCACCAGACTACTGTGATCCAACACCTTCTGAGTGAAGCATCCTCTAATCCGTTACCGCATTAGCTCGTTCTGAGAACTGTGCACCTACCACTTGGGTACTAGCACACCAAGTCATGCAACTCTTTTGTTGCCAGATATTTCTCGAGCACGTTTCACCGTGGGACCTTCTCCAACATCCGTTTCAAACCCTCTGTTTCCTCCAATGCCCCAACCATAACTCCCCAGCACCACTTCCCACCGTGGCGTACCTAGCACTTGGCTGGCCGTGAGTCGTTTGGCAGGGCACCTCTCCAGCATGCGCAGCACGAGGTCCTTTGCCTCCTCCGATACCCCTTTCCACCGCTCAGAGCGCAGCCTCACGGGCTTCTTGAGGATGACATCTGTCACGCTGTGATTGGCCGAGGGCCGGAAGGGTGGCGTACCGCAGAGCATGATGTAGAGCACGACTCCAGTGCTCCAGATGTCGGCTTCGGGGCCGTAGCATCCGCTGATGACTTCTGGTGCCATGTACTCTCTCGTGCCCACAATGTCACTCAGGGGCACACCTGGTGGTGATGGCGGAGGAAGGAGAGAACAAGAGGCGGAATGGTTGGGGAATGGGGAGAATAAAGAGCACATGATGTAGAGCACGGCACACACACTTCAAAACGTTAGCCTGGGGACGCAGAATCTCGTGAAAAAGAGAATGTCAGGAGGGCTCACTGTGTAAGACAAGCCCGTGACACACGCCAACACACACCATACCTTGCTTGAA